TGGCCCAGTTGCTTCAAGCTTCTCCTGCCTTGACTTCCCACAATAATGAACTGTACCTCTAACTTCAATAATGACCAATGTGGCAACATATGACCATCAATACAATACTGGCATGAATGTTATTGGAGTAATCAACACTTTCTGATAGGATGTAAGGTCTACTCCACTGTAGGGAACACATGGCTAATACTGCAAACCTGACCAAGAACCCATGATTGAGGCAGAGGCCCCAGGAATGATCCTATACTATTATTTTGCTAAGTACACATTATATCAAACTGCCTTCTAAATCTCTATCTTTCTACCTGTAGAACAGTGCAGCTCTCAGACAACATCAGAGAAGTTTCTTCGTGAAGTAGATAGTAGTTAACACAGGCACTTGCAACTGGGCAAAGTTCAGAGGGTACAGAGCCACAAATAGGACATCTCTATCACATCCCATTGCCAAGACTCAGACACCATTGCAGAGGAGTGGGTAGAGAGGCACCGGTGACGGAGAACCATAGCAAAACAGTGTCTTCTGGGCTTGATAGGACCACTGCAGTCATGAATTCAGAACAACTATTTTATTACCTACACAAAACCTATAAAAGATCAAGCCAATCAACTTTCTAGCACAGAGCTCGAAAGGGACTGTTAGTCCTGCCCCTGAGGAAGTACGCATAGCTGATGGTTCTGGAGAAGGGGAAGTTGTTTTTCTTTAATGGTGTGTCATGTGGTAGTTCCCCTACATTCCAGTGGATGATCCAGACATAAAAGGACATCACCAACTGGATCTGATGGGTTATTATATTTTTAAAAAGAAATTTTGAGTAATGAGATGGAGGTGGATCTAAGAGTTAAAGAAATTGGAAGCAAACATGATCAAAACACATTGTATGAAAGTCTCGATGAACTAATCCAAATATTTATCAAAAATAAAGTTGGTGGTTTCTGGAGTTTTGTATGGTCTCTGAGTGGACATTTCTATAGTAACTTCAACCGAACTTACTTAATCTAGAAGTGTTTTGCACTATAGATTGAATGAAATCAAACATTTAAGGGTTTGTTTATTTCATTAGAAATAATAATCGGACAAAACAAGAGAAATATTAGTCACTTTTCTGAATGAGGAAAACCAGATATTCACATAATAATCCCCCATGTATCCATTAAAAATATGTATTATTGGCTAGATAATATACATATATATATACTGTATATGTTGCATATATTTGAACATACATATATGTTCATTATAGAAATTCTATGAAATACAAAAATATTACTCAAAACTTCAAATATGAGCTGGGGGTGTAGTTCAATGGTACAGAAGTTACCCAGTATGACTTAGGTTTTGGATTCAATGCCTAGCATTAAAAAAAAGTCAACATCCAACATAAAAATAATTGGTGTATGCATGTTTATGTCTGCTTATATGTTTCCTTTTAGGTTTTTCTTCAGATATGTCTGTTTTTATAAAAATTGCATAAAGCATGTGCATGATTTTGGTTTTATTTTACTTAACAAAGAATATTATATGTGTTTTGATTATAAGAATGTAAGTAATTACTATTTCATACTATTTCATCACAAAGACATAAGACATGTTATTGTATGAAAGTACTCTAAAGCATAAGTTACTTCATTGAGGCAACAGAATAAAACAAACTTTTTTTTTAATCTTTTATTTTTTTTATTAATTACACTTTATTCATTTTGAAAACAAACTTTTTAATAAAAACAAACTGTGGAGATATCTGTCTCATGACCCATCCTGGAATTGAGGCACAAACAGTTCAGAGATGGTGTGGTAACACTCCCACGTCATAAACCATGCCACAAATTCAAGGATAGATAGTAACTCCACCATCCCCTAGTGTTCTCCTCAAATGCACGGTTCAGAATAGGAAAACACTGCATCCCATGGACCAAAGGAGAAAAGAAAGGAAAAAGACAAATGGGATGAAAGGAAATGACTGATCCAGAGACTCACCTAGAAATTACATACATTATTTCTATTGCCAAAAGCATGTACATGCTTTATACCATTTTTTATAAAAATAGACACATCTAAAGAAAAACCTAAAAGGAAACATAAGCAGACATAAACATTACATACATTACTTCTATATACTCTTTTGCCAATACAGCCCCAACTTATAAGAGAAAATTACACATTCTGGAGAGCTCACACTTCGATTACTATGAAAAAGAGGAGAAAAGGATATAAGGGATTTCACTTATCACTTTTATCATTCCTTTTATCTGTTATTATTAAGATGATAAGATGAAGAATACCTCCAGGTTTTACTCCATCAATACTGGTTGGGTAATAGTTACTAAATATCACAGTGAAGATTGTCGTGGGAAGAACAGGAAAAGGCAGGTGATTTGGACCTGTGGAATTTTATTTACATTGAGGTGTATAAGCATTACATGTCATAAATAATTGTAAATAACGAATGCTCAAAATCCACTTCATAACTTGTCAACACCCATCATCAGATTGCTCAAAACAGCATTCTTCCAGACAGCTGTGCAATGTGGAAAGCAGTGAAATAAGCCCAAGTTCCTCACTCCCCACCAGCTCAATGCCTCTTGGCCTTCCACTAAATTTACAGAGCATGGCCCCCACACCCATATCTGTATCAGATCCCTGATACAGATACCACAGGGTGTACCGCTATGCTTTATGCATTTTCACTCAGGCAGTATTACTGTCACTATTTGAATCGATCTTGCTTTTGCCCTAGGACTACTTCTCTAGAGATTGAGATAGATTCTTTGAGTTTAACCATTTTAATTGGATTGTTTACTATCAGTCCCTTTATTTATTGTTTTTTTTTTTTTGGAATGTGTCACATTTTTTTAATTCAGTTTACATCTTGTTGTAGCCCCATCTCTCCTCTCCTCCCAGTCCCTTCTCCTTCTTCTCCCTTTCCCCTTTCCCCTCCCCTTTTCTGAGGCAAAGGGGAACTCCCCTTCCCATCCACCCCAGCTCATCAAGTTTCATCAGGACTGAGCTTGTCCTCTTCCCTTGTGGCCTGGCAAGGCAGTCCAGCTAGGTGGAAGTGATCAGAAAGCTGGCAAGTGAGTCTGTGTCCAATGCTGTCCCCACTTCCCTTACTAGAGGACACACATGAAGCCTAAGGTGTTCATCTGTTACATCTTTGTAGGGGGTCTAGGTCCAGTTAGAGCATGGTCCTTGGTTGATGCTTCAGTCCCAGCAAGCCTCTCTGGGCCCTAGCTAGTTGGCCCTGTTGGTCTTCTTATGGAGCTCCTGTCACCTCCAGCTCCATTTCTCTTTCCTCCCACTTTTTCACAAGATTCCCTTAGCATTGTTCAATGTTTGTCTGCGATTATCAGCATCTGTTTTGAGGCACTGCTGGGTAGAGCCTCTCAGATGATAATTCTTTCAGGCTCCTGTCTGCATATTTAGCAGAGTATCTTTCATAGTGCCAGGAGTTGGCATTCTCCTATCAGGTAGGTCTTTGGTTGGGCCAGGCTCTGGTTGGACATCCCCTCAATCCCTGCTCTATCTTTATCCCTGCACATATTGTAGGCAGGGCAAATTTGGGGTCAAAGTTTTTGTGGGTGGGTTGGTGCTCCTCTCCCTCAGCTATGAGACTAGTCTAGTTAGAGGCTGTCCTCTTCAGGCTCTATGGCCTCTGCTACTTGGAGTCTCTGCTTGAGTTCCCCACATATCCTCCCAGGAGCCCACCCTGACTTAGGTCTCCGGTTTGTCACAGAGATACTCCCACCCTCAGTTTCTCTTTTCTCTTTTTGTCTTCTTACCTTTTGTCTTCTTACCCTTGCTCAAAGGACACTGTCAATAGAACAAAATGACAGTCTACAGACTGGGAAAAGATGTTCACCAACCTTACATCTGACAAAGGGCTAATATCCAAAATAAAATATATAATGAACTCAAGAAATCAAACATCAATGAAGAAAATAACCCAGTTTAAAAATGGGGCACAGAACTAAGCAGAGTATTTTCAATAGAGGAATCTTGAATGGCTGAGAAGCACTTAAAGAAATGCTCAACTTCCTTAGTCAACAGGGAAATGCAAATCAAAAGGCCTCTAAGACTCCATCTCACACCAGTAAGAATGGTTAAGATCAAATTCTCAATTGATAGCACATGGTGTGGAGAAAAGAGAACCCTCCTCCATTGCTGGTGGAAGTGTAAACTTGTACAACCTCTTTGGAAATCAATCTGGTGCTTTCTCAGTAAATTAGGAATAGCGCTTCCTCAAGACCCAGCTCAACTTCTCTTGGATATATACCCATAAGACACTCTGACATACAACAAGGACACTTGCTCAACTGTATTCAGAGCAGATTTATTCATAATAGCCAGGAGCTGGAAACAACCTAGATGTCCCTCAACCAAAGTATGGATAAAGAAACTGTGGCACATTTACACAGTCCCTACTCTTAACCTGTCATCTCTGACCCTTTCTAGATCATGCCTAGAAACGCTAGTGTTTCTTGATAGTAATAGCTCAGCAAATATCAGGATCCTTTACCTGCCATGTCCTACAATATACACTTTTCTCTTTACTTTTCTCTGAAGTCCCCTCTCTCTCTTCTTTTTGCACTACCTTGTTACACTGTAAGTTATTCTCCTCTCAGTGACAGCTTAGCTATTGGTAATATCTTGTTCAGGGCTCGTTGGTTAAATTCTTTACTTTGTGCTAATCATGTATATCACAACATGGCCTCCATCCAGGGCCATTCTATTATACTTCACCAGTTAATGAAGCAGTATGGTGATTTCTATTGTCTAAGAATGTAATGAACGGGCAAAATACACAAATGTCTCAAGCAATTCTTTTAAAATGTGATTTACTTTAAAATATTAGCCAAAAGGTGCAGTAGTAACCAAAATACAAGCACTCAGCATCAGGATCAGGATGCCAGATACAAAATCAAGTCTTGAATCACTGGAAAATTTCTAATGCTTGCAACCAAACCATGAATTGATGCTGCCAGCCTTTACTAATGAAATTCCCTTATTTGTAGAAACAGAAGATCTTCTTTGCTTTAGCTTTCAGTTTATGATGTGTGATAATGAGGAGGGCAGAATGTCCTGGAGGGTAAGCAGCACTCATAATCAGGCAAACAGCCTGGGCTTTCAGATTTTTCTTTTCATAGGAAGGAAGATAGAGCAGGGAAGCAATTGAATACGGAATGTAGAGCATGAGGAAACAGATCATCAACCTCATAGCACCCATGTGAGCTTCCGTCTGGGGATTCCAAAAGCTGGTCCTGTTTCTCTGCATCTTCTGTATATGTCTCTTCAAGGAATGTATTAACAGAGAGGCAAAAGTCACATTGAGCATAAACTGTAATAGTGAGCTCAAGAAAAAGGAGACTGCTAATGTCAAGATGCCCTCACTGAGGTCAAATGATGTGTCATTCCTCCCAGTTAGGTGTTCAGAAAAGTGTGACATCTGTCTGAGGGTGAAGTGCAGGAGAGCGGTGAAGGCAGAAATCAGGAGACAGGACAGCAGCAGGCCGGTGGTCTTCGCAGAGATAGTCCGTCTCAACAGAAGAAACAATGGGTGCTGGAAATTAGTAATCTTCACACAATACATGCTGTTCAGCAAGGTCACTAACCAGAGACTGTTAGAGTCCAGAAACCTCCAACACAACAGAAAAAATATGGAAAAGTAGACTGACCTTTCAGCATTTGTAGCATGGTAGACAATATTCAGCAGAAACAAGCCCAGAATTAGGAATCTAGTGATGGCCAAGCTGAAGAGGATCCTATCTGAAGAAGAGATTCTGTGACTTTTGACCCAAGTCCTACAAAGGACCACCATAATAAATAGATTTGCAATGAGTCCTACAAAATTAAAAATTACTGAGACAGAAAATGTAAAAAAATACAGTCCCCTATGCATCTTCACTCACTGAAGCTTCAGTGGTTGCAGTGCTGATGAAAGCAAACTAGAATAAGTAAGGAGACACAGTATTCAGCTTGGAAGAAGCTCTCCTTTTTATTTTCCAGTGTGGCAAATGAGCCATTTCTGGTCTAAGCAGCAGCTGCTTTTACTGAGATGCAAATCTTTCAAGGATTAAATTACTATTTCTTCACTCCTATACATATTTTCTTAGAAATGCCTAATGACAAACAGGCTTAATTAAATCTGGAATCTGTTCCTCCAGTATCAGAAAGACTAGAGGGTGTCAGGGCAGGCCCCAAGAACTTTAAACCCAAGCCAGTGTTCACACCTAAGACTTTCAGTTTCTCGGCAACTTTACTTTATAAAAACCATGGAATATTGTGGGACTCCTCAAGCCTCACTCTTCCCACCTGCCTTACCACCATGGCCTATCTGAAGCTGTCTGTGTGTCCCTCATATGTTGAAACTGTAGCCATTTTCTCCACTTGTATTCTGACCATGCCACTGCCAGTCCATCTCCTCACACATGAGGTGACTTCCTGAGCAGTAAGTTCAAAGAATGTCCCCCTGAGACATATTTTTCATGATACATGGTAAGGGGGACACAGCAGAGAAATGGACTTGTGTCATAATCTGTTTGGGGGTTTACCTAGGAAAAAATATATACTCTTTCATGTTTCCTTTATAAATCTGGATCTATGTTTAGATCATTTGTAGTTATATGTCTCCTTAGACATCAAAGTACTCTGATGTGAAATCCAACGGACTTATTTATAAAGTCACATTAGAAATCCACATTCAGCAATACCACATGCCCTCACTGACTATATTCATAAAGATAAAAGAATTTTTCATGATCCTGAACAATATTCTCATTGACTTGACAAAGGTATTAGATAACAATAAGTAAATCAATGTCTATTCTTTTTTTTAATATAAATTAAACATCAAAGTATATCTATACATACACATACATTCTATGATCCAAAAGCAGATATGCATCTTGGATAGAGCATGGGGGGACAGGAGTGGAGAAAAGAAGGAAGTAGAGGAGGGATAAAATGATTGGTCTTTCACAGTCTAAAAAACAAACAAATATTATTTGGCATTAAATTCAATAAAGGTCAATGAAACACAAGAATAGACTGGGGCCTAAAATCTAAGAGTCTTGATTCTCATGCTATTGTTTACATCATCTGCAAGGGCTTGTGAAAATTGCTATCTTAAAAGGATTGGTGTTGCTAAATAATTCACTGTTTGACAGAATGACAACCTGCACTCAATCTAGTGTGTCACATAATATATTGTGCTAAAAGGTTGGCACACATTGTCTCATGAATTTCTACTGCCCTGTGGATAAAGGAAAAGCACAAAAATAATTCATCCAAGAAAAATGTAGAGTTGACAGAACCAGAATTTAAACAAAAATCTATGGAAAAGCAAATCCTTTTGCTCTCCCTCTCAAGTCTACAGAAGTACTTTATATATCAACACAAAATTTAAGGTAAAACTAATATACAGATTGGCTCTTCTTAAGCTAATGGTTATTGACATGCAGCTCCAAGTCTATATAGTGAGTGTTCTTACACTGGCGTTTCTCAAAGACTGTTGCACCTGTCCAAATGATCCGATGGAAAAAAGGCCCTAACAAGCGTGGTTTTCACCTCTAATCCAGGTAGGAGCAGGGACAAAGCCTGCAGCATCTCTCCTATTCATGGTGTAGGCTTGACACATTGAGAGTCAGAAGGTCTCCATAGTGCTAAACCAGGCTGAAGAATTCCCTGGCTCCATCCTATAACCTCTGTTAGTTTATGAAGCAATGGGTCCCTTAGATCCAGGCTTCAAATGACCGCACTCACATGGGAACATCGCCACAAATGTCTGCTTCAGCTTCTTGTTACATAGAATGAGAATAAATGAGTCACCAATGAAGTATGACATTGTAATTACCATACCAATTATCCTGGCAGTCTTGGTGGCTGGTAGGAAACGACTTAATGACAAAATTAGAAAGGAAAGAAAGTAGAATAGGAAGAGTAAGAGGGAGGAGAAGATGATTCTGATGGCTTTTTCGTGGGCCTCAGTATTCTGGTCTCTGGAACCAATATTGTATTGCTGCATCTGCTGTGTGTGCTTCCTCAAAGAGAAAAGGAGCAGGAAGGAGGCAGTCAGGGAAACAATTAAGGGAGGAAGCTTCCACAGATTCCCAAGAACACGCGTCAGATTGTATTCACTTCTTTTCAGTCTGATGTATTCAGTCATATTGGGTGTTTCTTTGCTTCCGCTGAAGACAGAATAGATCTTAAATTCATTCATCAGAGACATGGTACAGACACAGGATAAGAGCAGTGCACCCCACAGCATCCCAACAACCACTCTGGAAGCTCTCCATTTGAACCAGAGGAATGTGGGGTGGGAGAAACTGGCTATCTTTAGGCAGTAGAAAACACTGAGACAAGAGACAAGCCAAATACTGAAGTTATTTGTAAATGTCCAGAAAATGTCAATGAGTTGCATCATTATCCCTGAGTCATGGGTGTGGTAAGAGAACACTATTATAAGGCCATCAATAAACATGATCCACAGCAGAATGATCCTGAAGAGGGCCAAGCTGGTGATGATGAAGTCAGACAAAGACATTTTCTTGCTCTTAAGCCAGTGGCTGCCATTGACCAACCCAACGAAACCATTCACCAGATTTCCAAGAATAAACTCAGTGACAATCAGAACCAGGAACACCCCTTCAGTGACTCCCAACATGTCAGGATTTAGGCCACCCTGATCCTCGTTCTGTACATATATCTCATCTCCTTGCAAATTTCAACTTTTTTTCTGAGATCTACCTCCTCCTGTTACTTCACTGTACCTGTCTCTTCTGCATGACTTAGTCTGTCTCACAGAACAGCTTTGTGAATCCACTCTGGTTGTCCCCTTCACGGATGGCACAGATTGTCACTTCTATGATCTTAAATTCAGAAGCTCTTTGTTAAAATGCAAATAATGCCCAGTGTCACATGGACAAGGAAGACATCTGGGTCACAAAGAATATGGAGGACTAAGACTCAGTTTCAGAGGGAGCGGCACTGTAGCTTGAATGCAAAACATCCCCCATGGGCTCATGCTTTTGAAAACAAAATCCCCAGCTGGTGCCAGTGTTTGGAAAGGTTATGGAAACCTTGGGAGGTGGAACCTAGCAAGAGGAAGTACTTTCCTGTTACTCGGGATGGGCTTTGAGAGTTTACTGGCCCCATTTTCTGTTCTGTTTCCCACACAATATGATGGGCTCCTCTGCTGCTTCCTCTGGGACTGTTCGCCAAATAAACCTACTCTCCCTTACAAAGCTCTTGCCAGGGTATTTTATCTCATTAACAAGAAAGAACTACAGAAAAGTAGTGCTGGGAACCACCCAGAAGAAAAAGGTAATTGATACCTAAAAGAAGCACAGAACTACCTGAAAGGTGTCTTGTTTCTCTTCAAGGACAGACAGATAGAAACAAGGAAATGCCAGAATTCTACCACACTGGACTGAGGTATAAGTACATAAAGTTCAATGACACTGCTCTTAAAATCAGTTCGTTTATTAAAAATTTCGTAACTTCAACTCATGAAAACATTGTCATTTTGAATTTTGCAAATAGGTCTCCATAGCCAGAAATTATTTTGCATAAAGTATAAAGATTCCATTTTTATCCCCACCCACAAATGGCATCATGTGTTGAATAACATGTGCTACATGCCACTTTTATTGGCTATTATCATATGTCACTACTTTGTATCCACACCAACAGTACACTTCCTCATAGTGTACGAACAACCAAAGCCTTCACTAGCAGAGCACATCCCCTCTCCCATTAGACTGCATTATTCTTGGGCATTTGCTCGTCAAAGCATCAAAATCAGCTTGCCACATCTCCCAAAGAATTTCCAAAAATTGATTTAAATTTCTCTCCATCCTTAACAATGATGGCAACGTTTCCAATAAGCATGATGCACCAGTGCTTTTAATGTGTTTCAATAATGTTTTATCAAGCTCTTCAGAGAACATTGACTGAAGAGCTTTGTATTCTTACACGGCATCTTTTCAAAATTAACTTTCATTGATGTTCAGAACGTGACACTTGAGTACTGCTCAATTTCTTGTAACTCTTATCTGAATTTTGAAAGCAATCACATCATTTGTGAATCACTTTCTCTTCATGATCCTATCACTCCTATGACAGTACTTGTTAGTCTTAGTGCAAGTATGTTGTTAGAGTGCTCATTTTTCCATTGAAAGGAAATTTTAATGTTTAGCACAATGTTTTATCTCTATTTTAAAAATGTTAAACTGAGTTGTTTTCTTTCTGAAAGCCCAATGATATGGGTTGCATCATGTCCCTGTTCCCCAAATCCACATAGTTCCTAACCTCCATGTAGCATACCACACAGAAGGAGAAAACTAAGATTACACAAGATCAGAAAGGTATGGCTCTGCTACTGCAAGGACACAAAATAAAAGTCAAGTGAACACAGCATGACAGTAGCTGCCTACACGCCAGGAAAAAGATTCTTCCCCAGAATGGATCATGTTGGCCCAAACGCAGCCTTCTCTAGCTTCCAAAGCTGAATGAAAATATCTGTTCTTTGAACTACCAGTCTATATTTTGTTCTAGCTGCCTGAGCAGATTAATAGATTTAACAACATAAAACAAACTATTCTGTACTTAGAAAAGCCTCACAACTCAATTTTCTAATCTGCTATTTGCAAGGGAAGTATAAAGACAATACTTCTATTCCTAGGTGACCTGCTATCTTAGGAGCGCTGCTAAGGTTCCTCACTAGGGACTATATTTAATCCTTGATAGACCCACCCCCCAAACAAACAACTTAGTTTGACTGCTAAGGTTTTGTGTATTTTTCATGGTCTAATCCCTCCCAAATTTATAATGACCTGAATTGAAAAGAATGTGAGATCAGTGATATCTTTCTTACTTCAACTTGCAGTGAAAGAATATCCAAAACAGAGCAAAGATTTGACCATTTATATGGACATAAAGGTAAATATGTGTGAATTTGTAAGAAACACAAGAGGTGGATCTGTGTCTCCCAAAGAATTCAAAGGTGGTCTGTCCAGGCATGCTCTGCTGGTTTACATCACCATAGTCTTAGCTTCTTCCATCTTCCACCCTGAAGACTACTCCATGCTCTGGATGGCTCCTGGAAACTCAGTTTCCATTACAGAAAAGAAAGAAAAAGGTCAAGGGAAATACAGAGGACATGTTTCTGAACAGTTCATCTAAGAACTCCCCTGAGAGCTCCACCAAATGACGTGTACACACATCCTTTCGGCAATCCATAACCACAAAGGACAGGAATGTTTTTGAGTTGTACATATAATCACTCCAAATAAACACCAGTTCTATGAATACAGAAATAATAGATAATGGGTAATTCATTAATCACATTTGTGCTTTACATTCTAGGTAGCTTTTGATTCTCAAAGCCGTATGAACCCAGAAAGGGTGCTGCCCTTCCAGGGTTAATTCCTACGATCTTTGTGTGGCTTAACCATAGCCTTGCCACAGATTTTCACCCTCTCAGGTCTGCTCCCACATCTGGAAATAAAGTATCACCGTCTACTACACATTTGACAGGAGGACGCTCCAAAGAACCTGGTTGTTTTCCCTCTTAGAACTGCTTACTGTGTCAGTACGGGAGTACGGTTCCTGTACAGTCAGTACAACTCCAGGCAGGAGCTGTTTTTCTTGATTTTTTCACGTGTGTGCATCCATGTGGTGTACCCATGCTAGATGCCCATGTGTACACACAGGGAGCCAGAGTCCAAACTAGTTTCTTTCTCATTGTTATTTTTTCAGATAAGGTCTCCCAATGATAGGCTACAAGGGATTATTTCAATCTTCTGGTATCTGTTGAGGCTTGCTTTGTGCCTGACTACATGGTCAATTTTTGAGAAGGTTCTGTGAGGTGCTGAAAAGAAGGTATACTCTTTTTTTGAGTTTGGGTAAAAAGTTCTGTAGACATCTATTAGGTCCATTTGACTTAGGACCTCTATAAGTGCCATCATTTCCCTGTTTAGCTTCTGTCTAGATGATCTGTCCCCCCTTGGTGAGAGTGGAATGTTGAAGTCTCCCACTATTAAAGTGTTGGGATCGATGTGTGATTTAAGCTTTAATGTTTTATTTACACAGACACTTGCACAGCAAAATAAGACCCTGAGGTCTAAAACATAGTAGCAAGTACATGCCTAGACATTTTTTTAATTTTGATTTTTTTTTTTAATCAAAAAAATGACGCTTCAATAGTGTGGCTGCATGATACTAGAAGCCATCGAAGTTACCCGCCATTGCACTGTGTGGAGTTATGAGGTGACAGAGGAAACTGAGATTTGAGAACACATTTCAATTCTACTGGTGCTACAGTTAGCAAGCTTGAACAATTCCTGAGCAGTCCTGACAATTCCAGTGCTTGCTAAGTCAACAGTGAAACCAGCAGACACCCTGAAGTTACTCTGGCCTGAAAGGAGACCCTTGCCTGATACAAGCAAAGCAGGGCAAGAAGGCAGGAGAGGAACTGACTTGTTTTCCTATAGGATCACCAGGAGGGTAAGAGAGAGGTATCCCCTTCACTCGAGTCTCTACCTGAAACCTGTTCTTTATTTCTAGTGTATCAGGAAGTACACTATATGGAAGTACACTATATATATATATATATGCAGTTTAACAGTGCGAGCCTGTCACTACGTAAGGCCAGTGGAGTACAAGTGTCAATAGAAAAAAGCTAAATGCACAGTTCACATACCTGAGTTCAAACTCCCACTGGCTTTGACAATTTTTTAACATTTGTGTTTCTGAATTTTCATGTGTAAAACTGTTTCTCTTCTTGGAAAACAGTACTCGACTCATCCAATGAACTTAGAAGTCATTACTATGAATACTGTCACTGTCTGAAATGTTTCCCTGTAACTTACTAACCTGAGAGATCGCTGCTTCTTTGCTATGATCTGTCTTGCTGTTACTCCCACTAGTCTACACAGCACGTAATGCAAATCCTGAAAGAAGGGAAGTAAAATGACACTGCTCTCATTTCCATGTCAATGTTTCCATGCCAAAGAACGACCAACACAGCACAATGTCACCATGCTAGTCTGAGCTAAGTAGGACTGAGAGGATGTGAGTAGAGAAGAAATCTAAGAATTAAATGATCTCTTTTGGGAACAAGGTAAAATTTCTTGATAATTTTACCATTAAGCTTAACCTTTATAACCTGGTGAGCAATAGCCAACCTCCCTAAACAGCCTCAGAAAAATGTGTCTGATGCTTGAGGTGGTGTGAGTTTATCACCCAGCCTTAGGAGTTGTACAGAGTAACAGTGGGTCTCACACTGGCCCACCTTTAAAGCACAGCCTTAAGAGCCACATGCATGTCATTAACGAGTGAGTGAAGACAAGTACACAAGCAGAAGAAGCATACGAGCGTATGACTGGGAATACACATGCAAAGTTTTCCTCATCAGTTCCTCTACATAAAACCACTCTCTGTGGCTTAGAAAAGATCAACCCTCCTTATTCTAAAATACACACTGTTATTGAAAGTATGCACAGGAAGTGTAAGGTGAGGAACTACACAAATACCCCAATCATAGCACTTGCCACTTCTCTCTCAGCCTTTTAAAGCACATATAGAAAAAATAATTTTTAAAAAAAACTGGATACTGCCACACATGCTGTTTGACTTTTTATCCTACTTTTCCATTTAACACAGAAAAAAATACCACACCAAACTTACAGGGCAGTTTTCTGCAGGTTTATGCCCGACATAATCACACCAAAAATGGAAACCGTAAGACCGCAAAATGCAATTACTAGTCCTTACAGTCCCTTAGTGCTGCTGGATTCCACAAGTCTACTCTGTGTCAGGTCCAGCTTAGGAGCAGTGGGGTTTCTCAACAGGTGGGACACACGGGATTAGGCTCCAGGAAATCTGACTGGCTTGGGAAGGCACAAGAACCAGCGAAGGTGCTGCTGCCTCCACCGCAGGGCCTTTCAGAGACGGGGCAAGCAGTCTCCAGGTCACAGACAATTCCGCAGGATGCTCTGCTCTACTTCTGCATCATAGACTTCAGAGCAGATTTGACTTTGGGTTAATTCTTGTACATGAGATTTTTCCACTTTCAGTTTGTTTAAATTTCTCTCAGGAATACACATAACCTCTCACAATGCTTAGGATTATAAAAACTGCTTTGCTGATGAAAGACATGAGAATTGCTCAAAACAGAACACTATCCCACCAGATTCAACATGTAAACACAGAAAGGTCTTGTAGGTTGACCATTGATCCCAGTGGCAGAAAAAAACAGACAGATGGGAAGGACAGCAGTCTCCTACTATGCCTGGTTAAGGGCAGTGTAACGATAAGGAACTCCTCCTTCCTGCAAACAAACTGCACTGTCAGTACAGAAAGGCTGTTCGTCTATGCAGGAAACACTTCAGAAAGCTGGAGTCCAATACACAGCACATGAATTCTGAACTTCTCACAGTCCAACACAATCTAAACTCTGAGCACAAAGAAAACTACACAGGCTGTGCTGGGGACCAGGCTGGGAGGAGCACAGAACAGACAGAATGAGGATCAGCAAACACTTGAACAAAGCAATACACTGAGCAGCAGCCAACTTCTAGAAAGCTGCAGGCTCACTATGGATGATTGTTACACATTTAAAAGAAAAAAAAAGTTTATATAATATTTGTTGGTAAATTACAACAATAAAATTAACCGTATATATACAGACTCTCTAGGGAGGCAAAGTCAAAGGCATTAAAAGTCCTTGAAGTGGGTGTAGCTCAATGGGAGGAGGCCTGCCTAACTTGAGACCATAGGTTTGATCCCCAGCACCACAAAAAAGATCTTCATCTCCACTCTCAAGAGTGTGGAATAAACTTTAAAAATGATAGAACAGGGTGTGGAAAGAAGAGACAAATGGACTGGAGTACCTGAGAGGAACTATGTCATCTTTAGTTATATTTCATTCAGGTTCTTAGTGCTGGTAGCATAAACACTACAGTGAAACTACCAAAAAACAGGTATGAAGGTGGGTAATTCTGAAGCAGGTTCATGAGATACTGACCACTGTTCAGCTGCCCCCTTCAACTGGGTATCACATCCCCGTCAGCATTTATTGAGTAGCTCTTCTGCGCCAACACTGATAAGAGAACAGTACACTGAAACAAGTCAGTACTTTACCTTCTACAGAGTAAAGATAAGAACATCAGTGTTTACAACAAGGACAGGCAGACTCCTGACATTCAAGGCTCAAAAGTAACTACTGGCTGAAACATCATAGGACAAGTGTGAAGCAGAAAAAGCTTTCCAAATAAATGTATACCATGGCCAGAACACACATTTGGTGGAGTCGAATGTATAGTGGAGCCCAAGAGTTCATTATTTGGAACACTTGTATAGAGAAACCACCCCTAAAAAAATAAGTAATCAGTAAGTGCCATAACATATAAGCTAAATATACACACACACACACAAAAGAAGGTATGTCGTCAGAAAAATTATTATCATTCATTTTATAGAAAAAAAATTTAATCTTTATTTTTAAACTATAGACTATACATGATTTGGAAAGAAGAATATACTAAACAATGATCGAAGAAGAATCATCTGTTCTAGATCTTTTCTCTTGTCTGGTCACTCAGAAATATGATGTTATCTGGAAAGAAACCAAAGTAAGAGTCATTTTCAGAATGCTGTCTTCATTTCATTTGATAATTCCCTTCCAACACAGACTTTTTCCGTGAGTCATAATACAAAATTTCAAACTATTAAGTAACTTTTGTTATATTCATGACAGGTACACAAAAGAGGCATTAAATAAAGAAAGAAATACAATACAACACAACACAACATGCTGTAGCTTTTTGTCCAACAATTCAGATGTCACTACAAGATGAGACTGTTTAGGTCTCCACAGCAATAACTTTATAAACAAAGTAAATGTCTACAAATAGAGCTGAGACTAGAAAGCACACCCACACAAGAGGAACAATGGCCATCCTCCACATGCTCCAAGCTCTTCAGCAATGTATAAGGGTCTGCCTGTGGCCATTTAGCAACTGCAAGTTTATTTGCTTTTAAGGAAACAGATTCATTTTAATTCTGAAAATGAATTTAATATGCTTTTTGGGAAAAGGTTTTAAGTATTACAAAGTAAGCATTTTTGTCCAAAAATAAACAAATTTGGGCACTGTTGATCATTCAAAAAAAAATAGCTAAAACAACAAAAGATAAAGAGGTTAAATAGCACTTCTTGAATAACTTCAAACATTTCAGATACTCAGTAACTATAAAATTATGTAAAGGATAATTATAAGTAACAATTATTCCATGACTGTATAGGATGATAACTTGAAGAAATTAAAATGGAAATCACGGTCAAAAACCAAGAGTGCCATCTACTGGTGTGTTTTTAAAGTTCAAGTAAGACTCCTAGGTGAAAAGGTAGCATCAAGATGAATGAAAGTTGAGGAACTACACCTAAAGAAACTAATCAAGAAGGAGGACTCCGGGTAAGATGTTCAATCCTCATTCAGAAAGGCAAAGAGGATGGACATCAGAAGAGGGAGAAAACAGGGAACAGGACAGGAGCCTAACAAGGAGGGCCTCTGAAAGACTATACCCAGCAGGGTATCAAAGCAGATGCTGAGACTTAATAGCCAAACTTTGGGCAGAGTGCAGGGAATCTTTTAAAAGAAGATTATAGATAGTAAGTAAGACCCTGAGAGGACAGGAGCTCCACAAGGAGAGCAACAAAACCAAAAATCTGGGCACGGGGTTCTTTTTTGAGACTGATACTTCAACCAAGGACCACTCATGTTGATAACCTAGAACCCGTGCACAGATGTAGCCCATGGCAGTTCAGTGCCCAAGTGGGTTCCCTAGTAATGGGATCAGGGCCTGTCTCTGACATGAACGCAGTGGCTGGCTCTTTGATCACCTCCCCCTCTGGAGGGTGCAGCTTTACCAGGCCACAGAGGAAGACAATGCAGCCACTCCTGATGAGACCTGATAGACTAGGATCAGAAGAAAGGGGAGGAAGACCTCCCCTATCAGTGGATTGGGGAAGGTGCATGAGTAGAGAAGGGGGAGGGAGGGTGAGATTGGGAGGGGAAGAAGGAGGGAGCTACAGGTAGAAAACAAAGTGAATAAACTGTAATTAATATAAAAAGTAAATTTTAAAAAAAAGAAGTGAAAAAAGTTGATAAGACTGAAAAGAAAACAATAAAAACAAAACAAACTACACCAAAGAGAATTTAGGATGGTAAATATACTTTTAAAATTTTAAATTAATCTCTATATTTGCTAGTGCTTACATGAAAAACAGGACTTACTTTTTGATTGTAAATATACAATAAACAAAAGAAGTTAAATGTAATCAGAAAAAAAATGAAATAGGTTTCTTCAAACAAAACTAAATGTTATTCAGCTTTATTAAAAATCATATATACTCAACTGACCAGACCAGTAACAACCATGATAAGAAAAAGCAACAACAGAAACAGAAAGCCTACAAACTTACTGAAACTGAACAACTCTCTTCTCAATGATCACTGGGTCAGGAAAGAAATAAAAAAAGAAATTAAAGACTTTCTAGAATTCAATGAAAATAGAGGCACAACATACACAAACTTATGAGACACAATGAAAGCAGTGCTAGAAGGAAAGTTCATAGCACTAAGTGCCTTCATAAAGAAATTAGAGAGATCTCACACTAGAGATTTAAAAGAATACCTGAAAGCTCTAGTATAAAAAGAAACACACCGAAGAGGAATAGATGGCAGGAAATACTCAAACTCAGGGCCAAAATCAATAAAGTAGAAACAAAGAGAACAATACAAAGAAGCAATAAAACCAAGAGCTGGTTCTTTAGAAGTTCAATAAGATAGACAAACCCTTACCCAAATTAACTAAAAAGGCAGAGAGATGCCATCCAAATTAACAAAATCAGAAATGAAAAGGAGGACATTACAACAGACATTGAAGAAATCAAAGAATCAGGTAAGCAATTTAAATAGACCTATAACCCCCCAAGGAAATAAAAGCAGTCACTAAAGTCTCCCAAGCAAAAAAAAAAACAAAACATTGGACCAGATGATTTTAGCGCAAAATTCTATCAGACTTTTAAAGAAGAGCTAGTACCAATACTCCTCAAACTATTCCACAAAATAGAAACAGAAGGCACATTGCCAGACTCATTCCAAGAACACATCATCCACCATGATCAAAGAGGCTTCATCCCAGGAATAGTTTAATATATGAAAATCCATCAATGTAATCCACTATATTAAACAAACTGAAGGAAAATAAACACATGATCATCTCATTAGATGCTGAAAACGCCTTTGACAAAATCCAACACCCCTTCATGTTAAAAGTCTTGGAGAGATGTGGGATACAAGGTGCATACCTAAACACAATAAAGGCAATAAACAGCAAGCCAATAGCCAATCAAGTTAAATGGAGAGAAACTTAAAGCAATCCCACTAAAATCGAAGACAAGGATGTCCTATCTCTCCATATCTCTTCATACTGATATTCTAGCTAGAGCAGTAAGACAACTAAAAATCAAGGGAATACAAACTGTAAAGGAAGAAGTCAAAGTATCACGATTTACAGGTGATATGATAGTATACGTAAGTGACCCCAAAAATTCTACCAGAGAACTCCTAGGGCTGATAAACATCTTCAGCAAAGTGAGTGAACACAAAATTAACTCAAAAAAGAAAAAAAATCAGTAGGCCTTCTTTATACAAATGATATACAAGCTGAGATAGAATTAGGGAAACTACAGCCTTCACAATAGTAACAAATAATATAAAATATCTTGGTGTAACTCTACCCAAGCAAGTGAAAGACCTGCATGACAAGAACTTCAAGTCTCTGAAGAAAGAAACTTAAAAAGATATCAGAACATGGAAAGATCTCCCATGCTCATGGATCAGTAAGATTGACATATGAAAAATGGCCATCTGAGCGAAAGCAATCTGCAGATTCAATTCCCATCAAAATATCAACACAATTCTCTACAGATCTTGAAAGAGCAATCTCAACTTCACATAGAAAAATGAAAAACCCAGGAGGGCTAAAACAATCCTGTACAATAAAAGAACTTCTGGAGTTATCACCATCCCTGACTTCAAGCTATACTACAGAGCAACAGTAATAAAACGGCATGGTAATGGCATAAAACAGACAGGTTGATCAATGGAATTGAAACAAAGACCCAGAAATAAACCCACACACCAAAGGACATTTTATTTTTGACAAAGAAGCCCAAACCACAGAATGGAAAAAAGAAAGCATGTTCAACAAATGGTGCTGGTCTAACTGGACATCTGTATATAAAGAATGTAAATAGATCCATATTCATCACCCTGCATAAAACTCAAGTCCAAGTGGATCAAAGATCTCAACATAAAACCAAATACACTAAATCTAACAGAAAGTGGGGAGTAGCCTTGAACACATTAGTACAGGAGACAACTTCCTGTACAGAACACCAACAGCCCAGGAACCAAGATCAGCAATTTAATAAATGGGACCTCATGAAACTGAAAAGCTTCTCCCAGGCAAAGGACATTGTCAATAGGACAGAAGTGTAGCCTACAGAATGGAAAACAATCTTCATCAACTCTACATCCAACAGAGGGTTGATATCCAAAATATATAAAGAACTTAAGAAATTAAACACCAACAAGTCAAACAACCCAATTTAAAAATGTTGTGTGGTAGTGCATGCCTTTAATCCCAGCACTCAAGGAGACAGAGGCAGAGGCAGGCAGATCTCTATGAGTTTAAGGCCAGCCTGGTCTACGAAGCGAATTCAGGACAGACAAGGCTACATATAAAAACCCTGTCTCAAAAAAAAAGGAGGGAGGAGGTACAGAGCTAAACAGAATTCTCAACAGAAAAATATGGAATGGCCAAACTGTACTTTCCTTGGTCATCAGGAAAATGCAAATCAAAACAACTCTGAGATTCTTTCTTACACCCATCAGAATGGCTAAGATCAAAAACTCAAGAGGCAGCACATGCTGATGAGGATATAGAGTAAAGGGAACACTAATCCAATACTTGTGGGAGTACAAACTTATACAAACCAAGTTTGGAAATCAATCTGGCAGGTTTTCAGAAAATTGGAAATAGTTCTACCTGAAGACCCAGTTACACCACTCCTGGCATATACCCAAAAGATGTTCCATACAACTAGGACATTTGCTCAACTATGTTCATAGCAGCTTTATTTGTAATAGCCAGAAACTGGAAACAACCTAGATGTTCCTCAAACTGAATAGATAAAGAAAATATGGTACATTTACATAATGGAATACTACTCAGCTGTTAAAAACAAAGACATCATGCAACTTGCAGACAAATAGATGGAACTAAAAAATATCATCACGAGTGAGGTAACCCAGACCCAGAAAGACATGCATGGTATGTACTCACTTACAAGTGGACATTAGCCATAGAGTACAGGATAACCGTGCTATAAACTATAGACCCAAAGAAACTAAGTAACAAGCAGGACCCAAGGGGGAAGCCTGAATCTCACTCAGACAGGGAGATAAAACAGACATCTGAGGTAGATGGAGAGGGAACTATGTGGGAGAGGGGGTGGGGAGGAAAACAGGGATAGGGATCAGATGGGGAGAGAGAGGACACAGGGGGAGTGGGGACACTAAGAGAGAGAACAAACACCAGGCTCCTTGGAGTCTATGAGGGTGACTCTAGCTGAGACTCCCAGCAGCAGGGGATATGGAGCCTGAATTCACCAGCTCCTGTAGCCAGGTGGAACTTCCAGTGGAGGGAGTGGGACACCAACCCACCCATAAAACCTTCAACCTAATATTTGTCCTACCTACAAGAAGTGTAGGAATAAAGATGGAGCAGAGACTGAGGCAATGACCAACCAATGACAGGTCCAACTTGAGGCCAATCCCATAGGAGAGGGCCAACCGAAGACACTATTAATGATATTTTGCAATGCTTGCAGACAGGAGCATAGCGTAACTGTCTTCTGAGAGGCTTCATCCACCAGCTCATGGAAACAGATGCAGAGACCCAAAGCCAAACAACAGGTGGAGCTCAGGGAATCTTGTGGTAGAGTACGAGGAAGGATTGAGAGAGACTGAAGACACACCACAAGAAGACATTCAGAGTAAACTAACCTGGACCCATGGGGGCTTAAGAGACTGGGCCACCAACCAAAGAGCATGCATGAAATAGAACTACACATATGTAGCAGGTGTACAGCATGTTCTCCATGTGGGTCACCTAACAACTGGAGTGGAAGCTGTCTCTAACTGTTTTCTGCCTCTGAATCCCTATCTCATAGCTAGGCTGCCTTGTCTGGCCTCAGTGGGAGAGGATGCACTTAGTCCTGCTGTGACTTGATGTGCCAGGATGGGTTGGTACTCATGGGAGAAGGGAAAGGGAGTGTGAGGGTGGGACTGGGAAGAGAGAAGGAGGGGGCTGCTATCAGGCTATAAAGTTATTAAATAAAGTAATAAAAAAAATCACTAAAAATAAGCAACGAATGAAAAATAAATAAATTTGGGCAGTGTGAGCAAAGAGTAAAATGAAAATCATAGAACTCCTCTGGTGAGTTTTCTGCAGTCTTGACATCATTAGTACTTATAGTTCCAGCAAAAGCTGCTGCTGACATGCCAAGCTTTTAAATGAAAAGAAACACTATCTACCACAAGCTTCTTACCCGCTATGATTGTTGTTGCTTGCCGCCTCACATTATTTTTATCCATGTATTCACCGTAGTCCACTTTCCCTTCCACAAATATTCGAGCCCTGATATAAAGAAAACGCAGTCTTTAGTCTGAAGATTCTAATTCTAATTAGAACCTTCAGAGTGTCAGCACATGGGGTAACAAGAACACACACGCTGAAGATGAAACACTAACACTTCTTCACTGCAAACAGTGCAAATCTAGTTAAGCAGGACATTGCTACTGAAGTATGGTACTGCCTTCCCATAGTCCAATACACAGAAAGCTAAGACTGGAGGATTGAAAGCTTTAGGCTCACCTGGGCAACTCACTGAGACCCTTCCTCAAATTTAAAGCTTTACATAAAGCACAGGAGATGCAATTCAGTGATACAGCTCTCACCTAGCATACACAGGCTCTGAGTTCAATCTAGTCTCTCTCTCACACACAGACACACACAGTAAATGAAACATCTGTTGACAATTTTCTTCAAATATCCTGTCTATTTATGTACATTTTCACATATTCATACACACATGAAGAAAAGGTGTACAATTACTGAAAAGAAATTGAAATTGTCATCACTGCTGAAATTATTTATATTATATATATATTATGATATATTTTTGATCCACAAATAAGTATATTTCTAAACAAAAAAAGTACATCCATAAAAACATTCGTCATTCTATGCATCCAGAAAAGACACATCTAAATAAAGTTGTCAAATGTAACAAAACTACTGTGAAATATATCATAAAAACTCACTACATCAGGCATCAAATATTCCAGGTTCTCTAAACACATTATGAGTTGCTCAGAGGCCAGACAGGACCACCATGCTCCGGGGTCACAGTAACACATGATCTCTTTGAGGCATGTGCTACAGATGCTTTGCAAAATACACATGAAGCTATAGAGTCAATGGCCTTGCAATGTCTTGCTTCATTTCTTTCTACTTATGTAGAGACGCTGTTTGCCCGAACTTGTCAGCCTGGTAAAACCAGACTTCCCATGAGCATGTTAATATCAGCACTTAGGGAAATGGCAGACAAGAGAACATTTATTACCAATTCTTTTGACCGTTCAATCCAAAAGATCCTTTCTTTATCTTACCCCTTTTTCACATACTGATACGCCACATCTCTGAGGCCTGGTCGAAACACTGATATTCGGTGCCATGTTGTCTTTTGACTGACATCACCTAAATCACCAGGTATAGGAAATGGGGTTACAATGCCAGCAGATAACACAAATGTCAACAACACAGAACATGTCTTAGGAAAACAAGCTTACAATTTCTAAAAGAAAGAGCAGAACTAATGAAGACTGGCTTTATCTATAAGTAACAATTTTACTGTTAGATTTGCAGTAACAAATAATGTCTGCTTACTGCTGATAAAGTAAGAACCACAGCCTTGTATACTCACCCATTTGGTCACCTTCTCCAGATCGCCACATCTCATTTGTTGCTAGAGAAAATATTGTGACTGGGTTTTTTCCTTCCACCTGTCTCATGACAGGGTCCTGACCAACTCGTCCAAGTAACTGAACACGATTCATAGCTGAAATATAGAATAGAGATGAAATGAGAACTTGCTGGTGACTGTTATGTTTGCTTCTTGAAAACTTGGTTCTCTGTACTCCAGTGTTACAGTATTTGGAGGTGATCCTTGCTTAGGTAATTATGTATTGATGAGGTTATAAAGGTGAAGCCTCCAAGTTGGAATTATTGTCCTTATAAGGAAAGGAAGAGATCAGAGTAGTCATCACCCTACCCCACCATATAGAGACAGAAGTGGGAGGGCAACTATCTGCAAACCAGCAAGTGGTGCCTGACTAGTAACCCAACCATGCTGACAGCCTGGTCCTAGCCTTCAAGACCAGAGATGTAAGAAACAATTATCTATGCTGTACGCCTCCTGGTCTAGTCATTACAGTGATCAGGACAGTCACACAAGATAAACCCATAACCAAAACTGACAGAAATGTCCAAAGGATCAATAACTACAAACACTGCTTTATGAAAACCTCAAGCTATAGAAGATCAACAAGTAAGTTAAAAAGGAAAATAAAGGAAGGCTAGGAGGAGAGAAAGGACTGACAAGAAAGCAGAAAACAGAGAATTACCCCACAAAACAAATTTTAAATTCTTTATCTTAAGCTAAAAAAAAAGAAATCTGAGATTTAAGAAAACCTCTATTACAAGAGATAACCTAGATCCCCTGCACAGATGTAGCCCATGGCAGCACAGTGGATTCCCTAATAAGGAGAACAGGGACTGTCTCTGACATGAACTCAGTGGCTGGCTCTTTGATCATCTCCCTCTGAAGTGGGGCCAGCCTTACCAGGCCACAGAGGAAGACAATGTAGCCAGTCCTGATGAGACCTGATAGGCTAGGGTCAGATGGAAGGGGAGGAGAACAGGCCCTATCAGTGGACTTGGGGAGGGGCATGGGAGAAGAAAAGGGAGGAAGGGTGGGATTGGGAGGGGTCAAGGGTGGGGCCTACAGCTGGGATACAAAGTGAATAAATTGTAATAAATAAAAAATATATTAAAAAAAATAAGTACGTGGAAACAAAAGTATTTCTGTGAAAGTATCCTTGGCACCCTTGAAGGACTGAGCAGGATGGCAGCAGAAGGGAGTGATAACTAAACTATAAGCTCTATTTATACTAGGTCTTCACAGCCTGCGGTATAAGGGGGTAAAATGAACCAAAGGCATGTTGGGTAGAACAGCTAAACACAGTCCATCAGCTCTATAGTACTTTGATAGTATTAGCAGAATATTGTAATGAATAACATTGTAAACTTAGAAATCTGTTACTTACAACGTTCAAGAACCAAACTGCTGGCTATTTCAGATTCATGTCTTACAAACTGATGAAATACCTATAGGAGAACAAACAAGTAATGTGGCCTTAAATTTCTTAGGAAAGAAAAATATCAATAAAAGAACTATTAATTCACCATTTAATCAACAGTTTCCACAAGTTCAAGGAAAGGATAGTAAAGGAGAATGGAGTACAAAAGAGAATAGAAAGAAATCAGTGCTTTCTAATGACTGTAGTCATAAATCAATTAGGTAAACATAAAAAACAATTATCAAGTGTTCTAATATTCTAAGCGTCATTCTCAGTTATAGGCAATGAGAAATTGGTTGAATGATAACAAAATGATACATCTCTTGAATTTGTTATATATCTTTTTAACATTGCAAAAGCCACTGTAGATTAAAAACTTACAAAGTCTATAATAAAATTGTTTTCCCTCATTGGCTGTTCAAAATTCATAAGAAATAGGACATCTCAAATAACTGCGTTAGAGTATTTCACTTAAAAATGAGCAGAGATGATAACACTGATTTCTTGAGTCTGCTGCAAAAGGTCAATAGTTTCTGTAGTGAGCTAGGTCCAGTAGAAAGTTTCATTCTTTCAACAGATCAAAGAAAAACAGCAAAAAAACAAAACAAAACAAACAAACAAAAAATATGGTTCAAATGCATGACTATTAAATAATCACAATTAACAAAGTTATTCACAGCCAAAAAAAAAAAAGTCACTCAATATGTAAACGAATTATACCTATTACCATTTAATTATAAACTAACTATAGACACAATGTCAAATTATCCCTAACTTAGATCCAAGGAAAATTAAGCCCAGAGACTTGTCCAGGAGGCTAGGAATTAAGTGGTAATTTATAACTTAGAACTCAGGGCTGTCTGATAACAATGTTGTTTTTCCAACGTGCCCTCTGCTGCTGTCTTAAATGCATCTGTTCTACATAAAGGTAAGGAGAGTACATATCACTACACTCAACAGCTCAGAGAGCTAGACATATTCTAAGAAACATTTCCTAAGTGACAACATTGTTAATATAACATGAAGGGATTCATCACACAAAAACGAAAGGGGTTGGCATGCCAAAGACTTCTCCTTTTAGAACAAGCAGCAGAAGAACTAATTTATTCAGGAGAATACTGGAGGCAGCTGGCTGGACAGTTAACAGGACTCTCAGCGCTTCAGGCTTCAGGCATGGGCTGAGGGTAATACCGTCCATTTTGAATTCTCTCTGGTAGTGAGCCACTTTGAAGGCAGTTTTCTGGCATATAATTCCTACCACACAAGAAGGGTCATCTCAACTGGCTGTTGCTCAGGCCTGTGAGGGGTACCGTGTATGTAATTTCCAGTTATGCAATCTCTCCATGCAAATAAGGGCAGAGACAGGACTGTAGCTCCGAGGTGTCAGGTTATACTATGATTTCTAGCCCTGACTTCTAAAAAATCCCAGTGGGGACCTGTTTCCTTCCCTGGCCATTTAATAGTGACCTTCTCTTTCCATACCCCTCAAATGAACACCCATTCCTGGAGTGTTTAGCTTTGTAACACTATCACTCAGGGTAGATACAAGAATAAGATGTTATGCCACAATGCAGGATTAAACTGCTAATCAGTTCCTATGTCATGATCACAGAAAATGCTAATCTGAGAAATAAGAAAAGTCAGAACTCATTAAGTTTTACAGAATAACTATGTGCCTCATCTTAGGCACACACACACACACAAATCACAACCCAGTAGGAAAGTAGAAATAGGGAAAGGATTATTTAACTCCAATACTCTCAAAATGCAAAGTTACTTCACATTTGGTTTCAAAGATACTACTACAGTGTAAATTTTCCATTTAAAAAAGACTAAAAGTATTTGTGATTAATGTAGAGCTCTAAAGACAGATCAACTGAGAATAAGATGGAGATGACAACAGATTTTTATAAAAGAAGTTGACTCATTAGTCTTTAACAGAAGAAGGGTCACAGAAAGATTTTAGATTAGGAGAATTTGCAAGACTTGGTACGCACATGCCACAATGAGGAAAAATAGTAATGGAGGCCTGATTAAGGCTGGCTAGAGCAGAGGACACATGACAAGATTGCAGAATGGTGATGAATTTGTAGCACTGGTGAGAGGTTTCTTCTCGGATAGTAATATGGGGCAGGGAGGAGAGGGGACAGAAGGTCAGAAAAGAACCCAGAGCCATAGGGAAAAGTGACAGAAGCCGGGGGGGGGGGGGGGGCATGCCTGAAACAGCAGCACCAGGAAAGCAGAGGGATCATAGTTCTTGATCATCGTCAGCTTAACAATGAGTCTCAAGACGGCCTAGAGTATATGAGATGTCTCAAACAAGCAAGCAAACAAACTCCCCCCCAAAAACTCAATCCCGAAATGCATACACTGATCTATATACAGGTAACACTCATTAATGATTTGTACGATGTATGTGACTACATTTTAAAATACTTTTTGATTCAGTAAACATTATGAGTAGAAAAAAAAACTCCATCCCGAACCTTGTCCATCAAATAAACAGATGTAAGATGATGGACAGACTTAAGAGTCTTCTGCTTATGTATTCAAAAGCTAAAAGAAACCTGATGGCTATAGACTAACAAAAACACAGCCAAGCACTCACTAAATGAGAAAAGTGACTACCTGTAACACAGGTCTTCGAAACATGGCTTCGGTTTTTCTTACACTCTAATATTTAAGCTTTTCCTAAAGGAAAGGAGGAAAAAAGATAGAAAAGATAAATCAAACACCATATACATATACATCATATATGTATCATATCATATCATATCATATCATACCATATACATCAAGAACACACTTTCCCTAGTCCTAAATCCTAACTGCATTCAATTTCCTTTTTTTTTGGGGGGGGGGGGGATTTAAAGATTTTTTACAAGATTTATTATGTATATAATGTTCTGTCTGCTGTACACCTGTACACCAGAAGAGGGCACCAGATCTCATTACAGATGGTTGTGGGCCACCACGTGGTTATAGGGAATTGAACTCAGGACCTATGGAAGAGCAACCAGTGCCCTTAACCTGATGACATTCAATTTCATACGCACCAAACTTGTACCCACGTCTTTGCACATTTGAGGATTTTCTCTTTCATTTTAAAAGCAAAAACTGAACACGACAAAAGAAACGCTGTGGTTTTGGGTCTCAACTAACAGCAGAAAAGAAGGGGGAGGAGGGACTGTCCTCACTTCCACTCCATTGTCTGCTGAATTTTCTTTAAAATACAAGTTCTCTTAGAGAGCACTTCTAATTTGTTCTGTTATTCTAAGCCCCTAAACTGTCCCCAGCAGTAAGGGTTCAATAAATACTGCCATGAAAGGGCTCAAATCAGTGTCCCTGTTCCGTCGGCTCCGCGGGGATTAGCGGGTACTTTTTCCCCGCTCGCAGGCAACAGAGGGCACAGCGGGACACTCGGACTCCTGCGGGGCCCCGCACACCTCCTCCCGACTACCGCACGCGTGCACTCCGGACACCCAGCTCTGCCTCTACCTTCGCCCTCCTTCACCTGATGCGCAGCTCCCGACCGGGCCCCAGACGGAGGCTGGCTTCCTGTGCACAGAGGCCGCAAAGCTCGCGATAGGAAGGAAAAACAGGAAGTGTACTTTGTGCGCCATTGAAATGCTGCCGGCTGTGAGGGAAACACTACCCCTTCGACTAAGAAGTGCCAGGAACTTCTTTCCAGGCGGAAGTGGGTAGATGAAGAGCGTCACCCGGGTGTAAATAATTTTTTTTTTTTTTTTTTTTTTCCTTAAAGATCTCCACTCTTAGCCCGGTAGTGGCCTCGCGCTGTCTAGTCAAACTCTGTCCCTGAACTATATTCCCAGTCCTGAATTGAAATTATTTCATGATGTTCCCAGACTAGGAGAGGGAGTAAGGTAGGTGAAATAAAACCCTTGGGGGAATTAAAGCCGACGACGAAAGTCTCCTAATTCAGCAAGGCTGGGACTTAAGACCAAGGCACTGAAATCGTAAAATTGAAGGGCAGACAAAAACTCGGTGATCTGGATATGTTAATATGTTGAGTCAAAATTATTTCAAGGAATACGTGAGGAGCAAAATATTTATTATTATTATTTTATTTTTATTATTATTATTACTTACAGGTCCCGAACTGTGCCTGAGGCACAAGGAAAGTGGGCCCTAATATTATGGGGTTTTTATGTACTTTTTTTTTTTTTCTAAAACATTAAAAGTTAATGAAATTTCAAGACATTTTAAAAGAGTATTAAAACATTGCTTTATTTTAAAGGAAAGCTAAGTGTAATTAAGATTTTACTGATAAGCTTAAATAGAAAAACTAACCAGTATTTTTAGAATATTTTCGCATTTTGTGTTTCAATTCCACAATTCTGGCGATTACTCTAGATAGAAGAGTTTAAAACAAAACAAAAAAGAAGAAAAGAGAGTGGCTCACTCTGTAATCATGACTAACCTGAAACTTAAAACTCACTATGTATGAAACTCATTCACTCCTGCTGGTCTCTAAATGACAGTCTTAAATAATTTCAATTAACTTAAGCTTATTGATCTTGTCTTTGCTATTGTGTTTATAGTAAAATTTTTTGTTTTACTATTTCCAAAATACCACATTTTGGCATCTTTTATCTTGATTGCTGAATTTCTTTCACTCCTTCAAATCCTGCATAGTTTACCCAAATCCTGGCTCTCCTCACGTAAGCTGTGTATGGAGTCCTATAGTTTAAAGAACCCAAGGCAGCCTAAATGTGATGGGGCTCAGTATTCCCAGTTTTTGTCATTGTCCAGTGTTAGAAGGAAGGGACCTCCAAATCATTCTAACGCATTGCCTCCTCGGGCCCATTCTTGCCATTTAAGAAATTAAAAAAGAAAAAAAAAAATCTGAACTATTTCAACATACATTTTAACCTTTTCTGAAGTCTGGCTCACTAGTGATGTGATTACAGATATTTATCTTCCTGTATTTCCACCTTGACAAAGTTGATTTTCTGAAATAGCAAGGTACTGTTTGGAGCCTTGCACTACCGCTGATAATAAAACATCCCAATTACCACATTACTTCAGTGGTTTCCTATTTTAAAAATCTTTCTGTAGACAAGGCAAAGGAAAAACTAAATTCACCTTTTCTTCCAGAGTGAAATTCCCCACCCACCCTTGCAAGCTTTGTTTTAATGGTCCCTGACTTGAACTTTGTAATAATCATAATTCTTTTTCCGAGTTACACACATCTATTCGCTCACCTCTATCCAGTTCCTTTCCTCATGATCCCATACCACATTTCTTCTATGCGAAGAATGTAGAGAAGGTTGTTTAAAGAAAAATAGAGGGTTCCCTGGGGCAAACGCCTTGATTTTATAACTATCCTCTGAATAAAGAGTCCTGGCTGAGTATCGTTTCCACACAGAAAGCGATCCGCACATTCTCCTTAGATGGTTGTAAAAAGCTGCAAGCGCTGCTCCTTCATTTTTTTTTCTTTTTTGACAAAACTGTATTGTAATGTACCTGTACTTGTACAGTGTCAGGGAGGAACTGTACCTGAGGCATTTCTTCTGTTAATGGATCTTCTCAATGACAGGCACTTCAGCCTTGGTCAGCTGTCAGTATCCTCAGCATTTAAAATGCCCCCCAAACACACCTTAACAATTCTGTGTTCAACTACTCACCTTTTTTTGCATATTGTAATGTAAATGACAATGAAAGTGTGTCATCCCCATTGATGATGAGCTCTTAGAATACGAAGACCCCATTACGAACACACAGCTTACAGTGAACCTTAAAACAAGTGTAGTCTTCACAAGGGCTCAACTTTCAGGATGGAACACAGAAGCGTGAATGAAAATATGAGTTCAGGCAAACTCAAACATACTGAAATGTTGAGGAGCCCAAAAAATTTAACTAAATTGAAAAAAAAAATGTCTCAAATGTTCTTTAGAGATACAAGAATATATAATATGTTCCAAGACCACTGTAGGGGAACCCAGAACCTTTTCCGTAGAGAGTGGGAAGAGAGATAGGGTAGAGTATGGTGGTTTGAATGAGAATGGCCCCATAGACTCATATTTGAATGTTTTGTTACCAAGGAGTGGAACTTTGGGGGAAGAATTAAAAGGATTCAGAGGGGTGGCTTTGTTTGAATAGGTGTGATCTTCTTGGAGGTGTCCCCCAGGGGACAGCCTGTGAGTTCTCAAACCTCACACCTGTAGTCTGCTGCCTACAGATCAGGATGCAAAGTGCCATGCCTGTCTGATTCCCACCATTTGATAACATCCTAACCATCTGAAACCATAAACAAGACCTTAATGAAATGGTAGCACACATCTTTAATCCCAGCATTCAGGGAGGCAGAAGCAGGCAGACTGCTGTGAGTTCAAGGCCAGCCTGGTCTACAAAGTGAGTCCAGGACAGTGAAGGCTACACAGAGAAACCCTGTCTCTAAATAAGAGTTGCCTTGGCCATGCTGTCTCTTCACAGCAATAGAACAGTAACTAGGGCAGAGCGGGACAGAGAACAGGAGGCGGCGGCCTGAGATTGATTTGATCATGTAGTTCATCCGTGGACACAGAGCTCTCCCAGTTAAATGTGGTGACAGGTAGCAGCACAGGAGCTTTTCTCAGTTTGAATTTTTTTTTTAATTTTATTTTTTTATTATTAGTTACATTTTCAGTTTGAATTCTTAAGCGTAGTAGACTACAGACTTCAAACCCTCCAGAACTGCCTGGAGAGCACTACCTGGGAGGGCAGAGTACCGGCTTACACTGCCATCTAGCTGTGGATGGCAGTACTTTACCATAAACAAAGTTTTGGAAACAGAAAGTTGGTGCAAAACAAACAAAAACACAAACTTCAGAAAGTCTAATCTCTTTTAAATCTTTTTTCTAATGAAAAGGAAGAGCCTTCCACATAAGCTAATTAAAGTAGCATATACTTTAAGGCTTTTTGAAAACAACTTTGGAAATACTTTGTAGTCAGTAGGGATATTTTCTTAATTTTAAATTTTTAACAGGTTGCCTTTATTCAGATTGCAAAAAGAATATATTTATGGCCAATATATTATAGCCATTGTCGATGCACCTGTACCTGTGCAGTTGGGTTTATGGTGTTGACACAAAGACATGTTACTTCTAACCTACATTACCTCTTAATGAGAAGAAATTTTAATGAATTCACATTCTTTGTCCATATTACAAAGGAGAATATTTTACCCATGTTTGTCTTTGGACAAGATAAAAATCTTTATTTACAAATGTTCTGTTTCCTTAAACGTACACAGAGGGAAAGATTTTGATTAAAATATGTTAAAAGCACAGAAAAGAAAAAGACAAATTCTGGTAAAAAAAAAAAAAAAATCAAGGGAACCTGATGATAATCTTCAAAAACTCAAAAGCAAATGGAATCGGCCACAGAGATATAGGACATGTCAGGGATGGCCACAAGAGGAATGGCATGCATGGAGAACAGTTACATCAAACTTCCTGGAGCCCCTGCCTCTGCTTGTTTTGTTTCACAAGTTAATAAGTAGCTCAGGAATATCCGCATTATAGTCTTACTTGTAATTATTCCACACAATGATAGTCTTTTATTTAATAATACAAAATCAGAAAAGAGATCGCTTCCATTCAGAAAATATATTAGACAAATTCCTTGCTCAAAAAAGCTGGCAATTGTAGGAGTAGATACAGCTTGGGAAGCACTGCTGAAATACAAGCAACATCCTCTTGTGAACTGGTACTTAAAGCCATATTTTATTCCTGCCTATGTATGGGGAAAGTTTCCTGGATCCTAGTGAAGAATAAGTGATGCTAACTTCTTAATCCATAGGCCAAAAGAATGTGTTTCTACTTCTTTGAGTTCAGAGGCATGTTTGGTTATTCATCTGATGTTCTCAGTAAGTGGCACTAGAAACATGACAGTAGGGAAGAGAAATGTCCAGGATCTATGATACACGAGACCATTGCTAGGAAGAAACCCTAAAAGCTCTGTGATTTTGCCTATAGATGCCACATTGGGATGGCTTTTGAAATCATGCTGCTTTCAAACAGGCTCAATCTTGCTCATTGTAAGAGTTTTCTGAAGAGTGCATGGCAGAAGGCTGGCTGGTGAGAAGCAAGCACCTCAAAGGAGGATGCCCCACAGGAGCGGCTTGAGGGCTCCCACTCCTTTCCCTCACCAGATGTCGTGTGCTTCCTGGGCTTTGGTGAGCCCCGTAAGTCCCAGGATACCCATGGTGGAGGTCTCGCTGAGGGGTCTGGACTTGCTGAGCTTTTATCAGTTCCCTGCAATCAAAGGGTGTAGGCATGGGTAAAGTCTTCCCTCGCCAGAGGGAGTATTTATAATCACAGCTAATTTCTCTCTTTATTTCAGTCTTAAAAATGACATTCAACCAAGGACCATGTATGGATATAACCTAGAACCTCAGCTCAGATGTAGCCTGTGTTAGCTCAGTAACCAATTGGTTTCCCATAGTGAGGGGAACAAGGACTACTTCTAACAGGAACTCAATGACTGGCTCTTTGACCTCCCCACCCCTCAAGGGAGGAGCAGTCCTGTTAGGCCACAGAGGAGAGTTTTGCAGCCAGTCCTGAAGATACCTGATAAAACAGGATCAGATGAATGGGGAGGAAGTCCCCCCTATCAGTGGACTTGGAAAGGGGCAGGGTGGAGATGAGGGAGGGAGGAGGGACTGGGAGGAAATGAGGGAGCGGGACACGGCTGGGATACAGAGTTAATAAAATGTAACTGATAAGAAAAAAATAAAATTAAAAAAAAATGAAGCCTGAGCTATATATGCAGAATAGAGTAATCAGTTCTTGTGATTTTTACTGTTGTTAAAAAGGTTGATACATGCGTGGTTCACAAATCACCTTTAAAATTAAAATTCTAGGTGAACAATTCCTTAAGCAAAATATAAGGAGTGGGGGGCAAAAACCCACAGATCTTATTTTATCTGTGGGTTACTCATTTTATCTGCTATACATACATATTATAAATATATATTATATATATTCAGTTGTTTTCATTCAACAATGTCTGAGTTGAATCATCACAGCAAAAATGATACATCCTGCAACTTTTTAGTATCTATTCCTTTACAGAACAAGCTGACCAACCATTGGTCTAGACAGTTTCAAGATGCCACTTGCCCCATCTCTATAATAAGTGACCATCACTTGTATTGAAGATAACAGTCACTTGTACCTTCAGCCTAGCCTTACAGAGTATGTACACCACACCTTTACAGACAACTCACATTATTCTGAACAATATGTGTGTGTGTGTGTGTGTGTGTGTGTGTGTGTGTGTGTGTGTAAACTATAATATGCATATATATGGTATTTTGTAGTCTATTGCCTGAAACAATGAAACTTAAAAAGAGCAAAAATATGAATTTATTAGGAATAATTAATTACCTCCCTAAAGGCTAAAAGTCTCCACAGCTCAAAACTAAGACATGGATTTGAAACTGTTCAAGTTTTCAAGCTCGTTCTTCCAAGATGGACTTTGTAGCTAAGCAAAGTTGAACTTCTGAGCAAATTTCAAACAAGGACCATATTTCATTTCTTTCCTTTTTATTTTTAATAGTGCACATATGATATAATAATAAACTAAGCGCACCCTCAAAGGTCTATGTAAATACCATTGTATGACCTCTTCCAACCACACCCATACTAATTCCCATTTGTCTAATGAAGGAATAAATTGATAAACGAATACAGACCTACATCAACTAGAAATTGGATTGTCCTCTTTTCCCAGAAAAAAACATGCATCATCTTCTAAACATGTTATCAGGGTAGGATATCTGCCTTCTGTCCCTGCACTTTGATGCTTTCTAAAGTAGTTCTCTACTCACCTAAGCATCCTAAAACATCTCTGTTTAAGACTATCATAGGTGATCTCCAAACAGTTATTTGATACCCACTGTCCTCAGAATCCAAGGACTTGCTTATCGCTGGTAATTTCCTTGTATTCCTCTCTCTTGCTTCTTTGGATTACTTGGAATTCTCTTTCAAACTGCCTAGTCTCAGAGCTGCAAATTCCCATGCCATAAAACAAAGCACACTTCTTGTGGGCCAGAGCCTATGTCTCTTGACATAGAATATACAATAAGCATGAATCCAAACAGATACATCAGTCTAGTCAGACCACTGCGAGAGGTTCAAACAGATGCTTTCTTGATTCCAATAACCAACTGACCTTTCCAGTGTGGCTATCTTGGATTTCTCCAAGTTCAGTTGTTTCTGGAGTTCATCTGTCTTCTCCAGAAAGGGCCGGAGGATTCGACTTCTGGCCAGAGCTGCTGCGGAAGGTCTCTCCTCTGGATCAGGGTGGATCATGTTCTGAAGATTGATTTAGGACCATGGAAGGAAACAGAAGTTTCGATACTGGAATCTTCTTCCCAGTCAAGCCGACTTCAGTTCAGAGTTTACTGCTGGGTATTGCAAAACTACTCAGTGAAAACTTTGTTGCACCTTGAACAGATGGGAAACCACTTGTCTGTACCTATGACTTGGATTTCCACTACATTGTACTCCTTTGTCTCTTAATGACCCTAAAATACTTATCTCTGGGTAAAGATCTGTAACCTAAGATGAGTTGACTATTGTGGCATTACCATGTGATTAAAATATCAGTCTCTAGATAATATATGTAATTATTATGGTATCATAGGATGACAAACACTAAACTTTCCATTGGAGTCCAAGTTTACAGCAAGCACCACCATTTACTCTTAACTGCAGCTCATTTTTTTTTTTTTTTCTGAAACTCAGTATAATGCTCTTCTCTTTATGGGGATGTTGTAAGGCTTAAGTCAATTAAAATAATTTATACACTATACATGGGACAGAGCTAGAGTGTATGCTGTATACCTAAATACACTAATCATTTAGGCATCCAGTAAATATGAACTAAATCTAAGGTTCATTTATAGTATGAGTATGTATACACACATACATATATAGTATATATACATACATATATGTGCACATACATATATAATATACATGTATATTTTATATGTATGTCTTTATTTTATCAATGATTAGGCTATTAACAAAAAAGCAAGTGAATATTTTTCTTCTTTCTTGGACAGCAAAATGGAAGACGGATCTGTAACTACAGATTCTTTGAAGATTTTTGGTAAAGTCTGGAATTCAAGTGTAATGTCCAAAGAAGTAGGTATTTCTAAAGCAGCGTTAGGGATCCTAACCACCTAGCCAACCTTGTTTTCTATGTTTTCTAGCCTATGTGTATGTGTTTGGTTTTTTGTTTGTTTGTTTGTTTTTGTTTTTGTTTTAGGGGAGGGGATATGATTCCTAACTTCTTGGTAGCTGGTGTCTTATTATTGGTGCTGTTTGTTTTGTTTTTGTAGCTGTCTTTGATTCATTGTAATGTTATGCTTTTGTTATCCCTATGCATACATATTTATAAGAACATATATCACAGATTTTTGAATTGGCATTACCCACTTTCCTCAGTAGCTCAAATAATTGGTATTGTCAATTATCAAAAAGTTGCTTACACTTTTAAAGATACCCTTGAAGTGATTCTTTTGCAAAATTGTCATGACTGGACATTGACAACAGTGCAACCCCTGAAGTTGGAGGGGAAGAGAAGATTTCAATTTAGAATTACCAATTATTAACTGAATACAAGAACCCCTCTGAGCTTGAGTTTCCTCTACTGCAGAAAATGGACCGTCTGCCATTCTATAGGGTTATTAGGAAGAGGAAATAAAATGTCCACATCAGTGTATTGTGGAAGTTAAGTTTTCTTAGGAAGTTTCAGTCTTCATTATGTGAACTTCCTACTTCCTCCTTCAATTCATGTATGGTCTCAACATGAATTAGTTAATATGGTCTCAATTAACTAACCTCTGCCACAAGTGTTCATATAACTAACCACCACACTTGTCATCACATTTAAAGTATAGATGTTACATCTTTCAACTCAGAAGAGTGCTACCTTGAGAAGACCGTAGAAGTCATGTGAGAGCTGCTGGGGAATCTCTGGGAAGTTCCCCTTGCGGATATGATGCCACATGTCACCATTGATGGGTAGTGACTCTGCGCCTGCAGCCATTGCAATCGTTAACCCTAAAGCAAATATGTCTGCTTTGGGAAGGCGTTGATAGTTCTACAGAACAGAAGACAGGAAGACCAGTTAGTCTGCCAAGCAGAGTGAGTGTAAAATGCGACCAGCAGACCTTTGATTGCATGTAAGCTCTCAATACTACAGGCCCTTCGCTTTCAGCCTCACCCGGGCGTCGAGTTATATTTACTGTCATTTCTGGTTTATACCTAAGAAGCTAAAGGCAACATAAACAAACCTGAACAATATTTCTGTGCCTGAGAGCCCAGGGCAGAATCTTAGCACCATTTTATTCTGTCAGATTCAAGGAGGCTTGAACACATAATTAGCTGATCAAAAGAAAAAAAAAATGTTTTCCCCTGAATTATCCAGAAGGAAGTTATAGTCTTGCTAGGTCAGACTCAACAGGAAGCATCAACTAACAGTCATTTTAGTGATCAGCTGGTGGTGGGTTATCATGAAGATAACAACATGATAAAGACAAAGATTACCATGTAGAGATGGTTCCCCTCCTACTATGCAACCCACAAGGCTAAGAATCCTAAGAAATACTAGTAACAATGAAGGATCTTTAGAAATAACTATGTAAATGTTGATTCATTGTTAATGAAGATAATATTTCTATGCTTTTTGGGAATTTCTTTACTGTATTTGGGCTCTATAATGGAAATGAGACTTAGATTGAATTACAAATATATACTCTTCATTTTGGGCACCATGAGCCTTCCTTTGATAGTAAAAATAGTTGAAAGAATTATAAAATTTATTGCACATCTGTAGCCCCAGCTACTTGGGAAACTAAGACAGAAAGGCAACAAATTTGTAGCATCCATATTGGATAACATTACAAGATTCTGTCCCAAAAAATTAAAAATTGAAAAAAATGAGTTCTTCCCCCAATCTTGTTCCCCTAATTTATACCTCTTGCAAGATCTCCTTAGCCAGGAAGCGAATATCTCCTTCTTCCACTTTAGGTTTGTTGATTGATGTCACATGGCCCAGGTCACCTTTAAAAAGAAAGGGTGTTTTTAAGAATATGTCCTTTTTTTGGAGATAGACTAAATGTAGCTATCAGTTTATTCATAGAGTAATATACTGATGGAGTAGAAAACAGACTCACCAATTTTATACATTACGCTGGCAGAGAGAAACCAGTCAGCTTCACTTTCAGCCTCTTCTGGGGCTATAGGAGAGTCACTATGCATTTTATGACAAATAAAGATGTTACCTTTAAAAATAGAAAGTAGACATATAAGTATTTCTGAGTTTCCACCCCACAGAGAACCTTTCGTGGTTATGACATTTCAGCTTTCCTCCTTTGATGTAGTTGTAGAATGACTACTAATCTTTGAATTTTAGTTTGTTTCTACATAATCTTTCTGTGTGTTTATATCTGTATATCTATGTATCTACCTATGTATGTACATACGTATGTAGATACATCTATATCTATATCCATCTATCTATCCATCTATCTATCTATCTATCTGTTGTCTCTCTTTCACTCTGTCTCTGTCTCACTTTGTAGCTCTGGCTAGCCTGGAATTTATTATGTAGATGTTCTCAACAAACAGAACTTGTTCTACATCTGCCTCCTGATTGCACACACCCCGCTCTGTGTAATCTCTTAAATCACATCAGAGTAGCCAGTGATGGGATAACACCTTTTTAAGTTAAATCACCCTCGGACTTTCCCATCCTCTGAAGAGCATGGTTATATGCTGTCTCAAAATAAACAAAGCCCACAAAAATAACGGTGACTTCTCCTTAGTTTTCAGAAGTGATAAACATTCATTCTGTTCACCCTGATCCAGGCTGACTTAGAAAAAATATAGGTACAATCTGAATGTAGCTGCCATACTGTCAGCTTTCTATGTGGTAAATTAAATATCTAGTCTTAGATTTTTTTTCTCTACATGATAAAGTGTCTTTTCCCCTAATATTCCCTGGCTCAAGAAGAAAATTATAAAGATATTTGACTGAATCGGTTATGGGAAAGAAATGGAAGAAACTGATTTTTCTAGATAATACTGTCTTTGAGATTGAAGGTCCACAGGTGCAGATTTCCATGATGGTTTACAAAGACAACATATGGAAGGAATATAGACAGTAAAAATACTAACTGGGTTTGATGTCCAGGTGCACCATGCCAGAGTTGTGGATGTACTTAAGACCCAAGGAAATCTGTAGAAGGATGTCTTTGAGTTTGGCCTCTGGGAAGTGATTACCAGATGCAGCATTTTCAGATATAGCAGCTTGCAGGCTTCCACCTGAGGAAAAATTGTGGTGAACAACACTACAGATGAACAAAACAAGTGTGGAAAGGCACCAGAAATGATCATGAGAGACTTGAACAAATCTCAGTTGGTTCAGTTGTCAGAGCAAAGCATACAATGTCAGCCCTGCAATGGAGCCAGAGATTTTATGACTTCAGGAATTTGAAAGAGGAAAATAAGATTCTAGTTTCTCAGTACATGTCCAGATAGCCAATATGTGGCCCTGCTCTACTGCCTTAGGTGTATTTTACCTAATTATTAAGAATAAGACAAATCAAACCAACTTGGGTAGTTACTATTGGTGTTTATAATCAATGTCATGTCAATGTCAGGCTAGTAACTATAGAGCATTAGTAATTTCAATGTGACTCATTTCATTAATGACAGATCATAAAACTGGAAATTTAATGGTTGTGACTCAAAAGAAAATGTAAAAGGATTTTATATGTCTGAATCCTATATTTTTACACAGGCTGTAGACTATTTTTATTTAACTTTGTTATCAATAAAACACAACTTCTGAGTTCACATCAGGCCTGGGCTTGGACACTCACCCTAAGGTGTTAGAATGTTTCTGAACATTTTTCTTTTAGAGTTCACTGACAAGGTCTTCAAATTAGAGTCCCGACTTCTATTAGCAGGTACAAAGCCTACAGCTGAACCTCTCTACAATAGTAGGGTCTAAAATGATAATAGAGGTGTTATGGACATTTATAGTTAAACTAAGTATGCCATGTAAACTTTAAAGGCCAATTTGTTATGCTAACATAAGTATGTTCAGTAAAAAAATTCCACTCCCTTTCAACACACACAAAGACATGACAAAGGGTTATTTCTCTAGGATTTTATTAGAATTCATGTAAGGAACGCAAACATTTTAATTTTGCATAAAAATGAAGTTGCTGTAAAACTGATTTTGTAGGTGAACTTACTCCATGTCAACAAGGATGAAGGGCTGCATCCAAGAGAACTCTACTGGCTGATGTCAGCCTGGGTATTCCTAAGTGGCAAGAACCACCTCTAATTCACACTCTTCTTCTGACAGACCAAGAGTATAATACATATTTTTCTGAATTGGATGTTTACGCTGGCAACAGGGAAAATGAATAAGTCAAGGACCTCTGTCAGAACACAGTCCAGGGATGGAGTCATGTGAGAAAACTCCCAGAAAAAAAGTGTCTTGTGACCTCGGTTTTTTTAAAGCACAGACTTGTTCATGGAATGTGCTTTTCCCAGGTGTAGCAGATAGGAGTGAGTTTACTTCAGCTGTTGTTATTCTCATGCCCTTATAGAAAACTGTTTTTGCCATTTGTAGCTTGTCCTTGTGATTGTAAATTAAAAGCACTTTAACCCCTTGATAGGAAGAACATCTTTAAAATGTACTTTTTTCCCTCTCTGTTAACAGGGCCTAAAAATAACAAAACAAATAAAGAGCAAATAACTTCTAACAATAAAATGAAAAAAGCGATGGGATATTTCATCCAGACATATACATCCTCACATTATCATTTTATAGTGCTGTTGATAATACTGATACTTTTCTGCTGACACTGGTTCCTGGTTTGTTTAATGGAGAAATATAACCATTTATGGCATTCCATGGTAAATGTTGACCCTGATGTGCCATTCAAACAAGTAGAATCAGGAGTTGGTTTTATGGGACTTCGATGACAGAAGATGCCACATACACAAATATTGTCATTACAGAAATACAAATATTCTAACCCAGAATCAGTTGAAATCCTGGGGGCATTTTGAGTCTATCAGAGACTTTTAGTTGTCTAGGCTGATCCAGAGGTGATTTTCAAGACATTTTGACAAGGGTCAAGGATACAGAATGGGTATCTGATTGGTTCAGGCTTAAGAAGGACAACAGGGGAAATTATGAAATTAATATTAGATGGCTATTATCTCTAATAGTAGTGATCTAATATATATATATATATATATTTGTAAGACTCCTACTATATCATCTAAATTAAAATAACTGTACATGTACAGCTGACTGCTTTGACAGGCTAAGAGATGAGGAGTGGGAAAGAATGGATGAAAAGAAGTAAAGAACTAAATTACAAAATCAGTTTTACATCAGTAAATGAGCACTCTGTGAAGACAATGGGCCAATATGATAAAGCAGCAAATCCCTGCCACCTGGAACCTACCACATCTAATCTGAAAACCACTGTGTGGTTTTAAAGTCCTATATAGTATCCCTAGCTTTTACCTTGCTGATACTATTTCCTAACATATTGGTTTTCCTACTTTCTCTTAGGTCAGACCACTCCCAGCATTTTGCCTTTAACCTGCCTGATGTTCCAACAACTGGTTTGATTTCCTAAAATATAGTCCTTCTGCCAGGCCTAATTAAAGTCTTGCCTTCTTTATGAAAATTGGGGTTACCCTATTTTTACTATGCATCACGTATTGATTCTCTGCTAATATTTGGCAGTGCTATTGTTAATTCTCAAATCACTTCTGTAATAAACGTTACCATCCATTTATGCACTCTGTTTGAGTGATATTTCAGTAATTAACTATATAGCTAGTGAGCATCAGAATTGGCTATAAACCTAGGTCTTCCAACCTTATTATCTAGGCCCCTTCCAGTACCCTGTCATATATTTCTGACTGCTTCCTTATCTATGATTGAACCATAAGGCTTTGCATCAGATTTCTGTTACGTAGTTCTTCTAACAGAATGAGTGGAGCAAAGCACCTGAAAGGACTTACTCATACTTCTCTATCTGGAGTATTTCTCTGCCTAGAGTTTAGTAGAGTATCTGACTTAGAGAAGGCATTCAAATACTGAAATGAAGTAAAGGATTATCGTAATGAAAACAACTTCCTCATCTTGCTGCTTTTGAAATTTTTGGAACCTTTTCATTGACTTTACATCATATTAACATTTTATTGGTTAATTTTTGCTATTTCATACTTGTGCTAGTCGTAAAAACAAACATGGAAATCAAACCAATTTTTCTTTTAGAAAAAGAGAAGGAGAAGAAAGTAATAAGCCTTAGGTTTTAATGTAAGAGAGTTGGGAAGAAAAGGTGATCCAGAAAAATCTCAATCATAAGCATAAAGAAAGGCTCCACCTTCCCAGAGACTATTAGAACAAATGGAGGGAGTTATGGTAAGTTTAGAAAATGGAAGGTCTGCAAAGACCATAGGTGAAGACTAAAAGGATGTCTTATCGATAAGAAAACAACAGAAATGCCAAGTAGTTCTGCAGGATGTGTGTGCCATTCCCTAGCCTTCCATATGCTTTTCTCATCTACTTGTTCATCCACTCACTTCCCTAAAGGAGAGGCTTTGTTACCAGTCAGTGTACTCCAAGGCCAGGCTGGACCACTGTATGCAGGGCCTTTAGGTTTGCTCTAGAAGTCCTGGAAGCCAGACTACACTGTTAGAGTCATTCAGGGTGGCTGTGGGAAAGAGGATTGCCAAGTAGTCTTTGGTCAGAATACATATTGCTGCCCCTAAAATTAGTGCAGATATTACTCAATATATAAAAAAAAACACATCTGAAGGCCCCGAGTTTGGTCACAGCGTCCACCCATGCCTACACGGTGGTGAGAGCAATTTAGTTCAGAGGTTTGTAGCGGTAAGAGATGTGAAAGATCCCTTAACTCAGAAGTTCATGGAAAAATAGGCAAAATGGGTAAAGCCTTTACCAAACCAACAAAACTAGGAGCATTCCAACATTCCCACCAATGTTATAGTTTATTCCTTTCCAAGTACCTTGTGGATGGTAACAGAATTATCTAAACTGGTACATTAACTTTTTCCTTTCCACATAAGATGAGCTGTGACGGGACTAAGAGCATTGTTGTATCAGCTACACCAGCTCTGCGCAAAGCACGCAGGGGCATGCACACCCACACACACACACACCCACACACACATATATACAGAGTACTCACTTCAGTTCTGTTGTTAATCTGTTTCCAAGCACAAACGTTTTCAGTATGACTGATATGTAAAGGCTTAAACTGTGAGGAGGCAGACTTATTTCTGAAGCTTTAAAAAGTTCACCCCTACCTCTGTAATAGTCCATACTCACCATTACAGTATTCGTTCTGAATGACCACGTGATCATCTTCTGCCCATGAAGAATAGTAGCGTACCACATGGGGGTGATGACCAAGCACTGCATGAGCATAAACTTCATGCAAATCCAAACTCAAGGGATAGAAAAGCATTTAGAAAAATTGAGATGATATAGATTAAAAAGGGTTTTTAAGGAAAACATGGGAGGCATTAAAATAACAAAATATTTTTCTAGGGCCTGCTGCATCCTTAGTATTTTATCTATTCAGTCCTTATAGATTCTTGGAAAGATGCATTGGAAAACATGATGAGAGTAGGTGGCTGGTCCAAGGTGAAACTGGTACTAAGAGCAGAACCTTGGTCAAGCATGTTTTATTCATTGAGCAAGGCATATATGTGTTTACCGTCTCAGTAGCAGATAAGCTTTGGGTCTTAATTTCACTGTATCACAGTGCCAAAAACCCTAATAGTCATAACAAGAAAGCCATCACACATTTGGTTGTGAATACTTTTGTGGATCTGATTTCTCCCTAAAGGCTAGATAGTCATCAGAGTCATTATTAAAGCATGGGAAAAAGCCTTGCAAGAGATATGTATTATGCAGAAGAAAGGCAATTCTGCCCTTGATTAATACCAATTTAAAAATTAAAAAACCTATAATTTCTGACTCCAGCATGGTCAGTATAGATGAAAAAAGCCCACAAAAGCATTGACTCAATTTATAAATAATTGCTTTTCCTTATCATCAAGGGAAAGTGGATAGTTAGTTCTGGATGTTAAATACAAACATTGCTAATAGTTTTCCTTTGCATAAAGTATCAAATTTTAACACAGTTGATTATTGTACATGTACTGGTTAATTTTATTGTCAACTTGATAAAACTGGAGTCACCTAGGAAAAGTGAATGTCATTTGAGGAGTAGCATATAGGATGGGGCTACAGCCATGTCTATGAGAGGTTGTCTTATTTGATATTTGGTGTGAGAGAGCCCAGCCCACTGTGGGAGATACCAACTTTCAAAAAGTATAAGAAAGCAGGCTGAGCATGATCTAGGGAGCAAGCCAGTAAGCAGTGCCCCCCTCCCCCCATAGTTCTTGTCTCTGCTCCTATTTGAGTTCCTGCCCTGACTTCCTTCCACAATGGATTGTGATCTAGAAGCATAAAATAAGTAAACCCTTTCCTCCTCTACAAGTTGCTTTTAGTCACTATGTTTGTCACAGCAGCAGAAGGTAAGATAGAAGAGTACAAAACAGAGCTAAACCACTGATAGTATTTATCCGACAGTATTTCAGATAAACTTCAGTAAGTACCAGGAAACCATTCCATAAGTCAATTCATTAGAATGGCAGTAAGACCAGTAGACAGAAAAGCCAAGAAATTAAAACAACAATAGCATGCTGGTTGGGGTAGTGCATGTTTTTAATCCCAGTGGAGGCAGGCAGATCTCTGAGTTCAAGGTCAGCCTGATCTACCTAGTAGGTACTAGGCTACCCAGAGTTTATATGGTAAGATCCCATAGCTGCAAACAATAACATGATCTCAGGTTATTACACGCTGTTTTAGGAAATGCCACTGGTGTTCTGGACAACTGTCAAGCTATGAATGTAAAATGACATCTAATTGTGGGATACATTTAAAAACAAGCAAACGATGTGTTCTTATTGATATCAGAGTTCTTTTCAAAACTGTTTTGAGAATCAGTACATTACCAAATCCAAGTTTGTTCATCCAATACTTTTCTTTCTGTTGTTTTGTTTTGTTTTGTTTTGTTTCAAGACAGAGTTTCTCTGTGTAGCCTTTCTGTCCTGGACTTACTCTGTAGACTAGGCTGGCCACAAACTCACAGAGATCTGCCTGCCTCTGCCTCCCTGAGTGCTGGGATTACAGGCGTGAGCCACCACCCCCGGTTTATCCAGTACTTTTCAAAGGTACTCACTCATTTGATAATCCTGAAAAGGGTTTTGCAGAGCGCTTTATTGCGTAAACACATCCATCCAGCCTCTTAATGCACTTGTAGACTGTACCAAATTCCCCAACCCCAATTCGTTCTATCTCCAAGAATTCCTTTTCATAGCGGGAAGCCATATTAGTTTCTTGTAGAACACTTCTCTAAAATATATTTTTTAAAAAGAGAGAGAATAAGTCTTCCCACATACTGAGAGCAACAAAACAGAACTATATTACAGTTCCTAAATTGCTTTTTAGAAATGTGAGGCAAATGTTATGTGTTCTCTTTGTGTTACTATTCATGGGCAGCAAGGGTTTTGCCACTGGCTGGCCACATCTGTATCCTTTGTAACCTTACATACGAGTCAGTCCTGCCCCTGGTCACATTGTTTTAAATGTGTTATTTTTTTTTTTCCCTCCACCTGGTCAGCCTATCCTAATGGGAGACCCACAGCTTCTGAAACCCAGAACTACTCAGCTAAAAGCATGTTCAAAGCAAAGCAAAGGACAAACAATACCAAAACCTTCTTTTGACTCCCTGTCTTTCTCAAGGCCTGGGTGCTGTATTTTTTACCTCATGTGGGATAAATTTTCTTATTTCAATTTCTTTTCACAGAAGTCTTAGTTTGGGAAAGAAAATTCTTGACTCGGTTAATCTATCACATGTGCTTGGAAATAACTCCCTCTAGTGGCCAGCTGGTAATATCACTCATTTCCCAGCTGGTAAATCTAAGGGGTAATCACTGAACTCACCAGTTTTCTGTCTGTAACATGAAAATTATAGCAACGACTCCTCGGGTATATTAGTATATTAATATTATATGATAGCATACAATGTTTTATCACGTGTATCATTGCACTTATGTTTATGTATTGATATATGTATGTTGATTTATGTTTTATATATATATCAATATCAGTTATCTTAGTATAATAGAAATTTTACAGTCTGTTATTATGATCAAAATCTTTACAACTCACATAACTCTAAATTTAAAATCATTTCTCTCTCAAACTTCATTTTTTAGTGTCCCAATTAGCAAGAATGTTTCTCATCTAACTTTAGCAAATTTACAAAATCTTGCTATTACTCAATCATTTATATACCCAATTCCACTCAGTTCTTATCAGAAAGACCTGTAATTTCCTATGCCCTTAGGCAGTCCTAAGCTCTGGCTCCTCCATATATGCATTTGCCTCCACCAGTAGCTCTCTTTTCAACTTCTTCAGTAATAATGATTTTGCCAAATGATTCTGCAGAATTTAAAACCTAGTTACTTGCCTTGAGAAAGTTAAGCTCTGACAGCAGAACCAAAGCCTCCTACCAACTGACACTAAGTACATTGGCCACCCATCTTAGCTACCAAGCAGGACAGCTCACTATACACATTACTGCCAGCTGCCCAGCTCACCCCCTTACACAGAACCCATTCCCTTGCTTTTAGAGAATCAAAAATTATTTCTTTTCTTTGCCTAGAATTAGCTATACACACGTGTTCAACTATTTTGCTTTCTATAAGGATTTTTACTACCCTTGTCAACCTTACATATATGCATACGTTTACACATCATCCATAGGTGCCAACAGATCCGCATATCTTTTCGCCTTCTATTTATGTATACATTGTTTTGATATTTCAAAGGTGTTTCTCCTGGCCAGTTACGTTTACATAGATACTTATAAAGATATATTTTCTTCACTGATAAATATATTTGGCATTTTTTCAGAAACTAGTCAATGACTTAAAAAAAACAAATAAGGGATAAAACTTAAAGTAAAAAGCAGTGAAGGCATGAATGGGAAATGTTTGCATGGGGAAATTGAAGGTTTATACCCACAGCCTCCCCTGTGGCAGCTACAATAGCTGAGTGCGGACATTTAGAAATGCTGCCTCTGCCTAGTGTGGTGACCCACACCTGCAATCCCAACCCACAAGAGGAGAGTCAGAATCATAAATTCTAGGCCGGCCTCAGCTATACGAGGCTCCCCACTTAGGAAGGAGATGGAGAAAGAGAGAAAGTAAAACCAGAAAGAAAAAAATCACGGAAAATATTAACTTACTTATGCAAAAAAAAAAAAAGATTGCTCAAGAAGTTTTGAGTAACGAGAAGTGAGAGCAACCGTGTGGTTTCTGCCATTCAAAGGCGTTGGAATAACAGCTATCACTGAGACATCTGACTGTGATTAACCCGTAATACATGTAACTACCATATAAAATTTGAGTGTTGTACATTGAATCGTGACAAGAGACATGTTTCTACATGTTGGGAACACCTTACTAACAATTTAATATCCTACTGACTTTGTATTTGACCTAGCCATTCTTCTATTGGGCATTCAGTGCCTCCACAGTTTTCAGCAACTACGATTTAGAGGTGAGAAACATTTCAGAGGCAAATGTTTATAGTATTATTTTGATAAGTTAGATTACTACATGGGGAATATCCCCAAAATGAACAAATGAGGATATATTTGACAGCTAAAATTTTACAAAGAATTCTGTGGACCAATACAACTGTTCTCCATTCCAACTTGGGAGGAAACAAAGTTAGCTTAATTTTTTCATTCCTTCTCCACCCCAGGATAGAAAGTTTCCTCAGATTAAAAACAGAAATAAAAACCTTTAAAATGTATCCAATAACTTAGCAATATATATATATATCAGCTATCACTTGCCAACATAACAAATTATCTATATGCTAACCACAGTCTGTGTAAATTCTGTTGCAATGTAAACTTTTAAAGCTATGAGAAAGATATGTGGGAAAGAGAAAGTAAGGAAAAGAGAAGGGGTGGAAAGGATGATGGAAGGTAAAAGAAAGAATAAGAGAAAGGGAGAGGGAGAAAGACGTTAGAAGTATCAAAAAAGAAAGATAAGGTAGAGAAGAGTAGGGTGGATGAGGATTGAGGAGTAGAGGAAAGGAAAAGAAGGATGAGGAAGAAGCGAAGGAAGATGAGGAGGAGGAAGGGGTCAGGGGGAAGAAAGGGAGAGAGGGAGAACAGAAAGGATAGGAAGCAGAGAGACAGACAGGCAGAATGAATAGGACGAAATTTGTTGTGACTGTTGGACCAAAAGACCATGCTCACCTTAGCAGGCAGCCACTGTTCTGGTTTGCTCTCTCCTTCTCCAGTTTCCTCACTGAAAAAGGAACAGGTCGGAGCAAGGGTGGTTAAAGAATGACCAGCACATGCACTGAGGCTGGTATTGTGATAAGGTCTGTAGTTGTAAGTAAATAAATGCCTTCCCTTCTTTATGTTAGGGATTAGAGATAACCCAGAAAGTTACTACAAGAGCTTGGAACAGGATAGTAATAGGCCATCAGGAGAAAACATCAACAGCACCCAGTTATGTGAGGGCCTCATGATTTAAAAAAAAAAAAAAAAGGCTTTTCCAGAAGAGAATATGTAAGCAAAGATTCTAAGAAGGAATGGGAACAGAATGAGGAAAGGAGTAAACATTCCAGGCAAATAGATTACCCATGCTAAGACAGTGGTTCTCAACCGTCCTAATACTGGGACTCCCTACTATAGCTCCTCATGTTGTAGTGACCCCCAGCCATAAAATTATTTTCATTGTTACCTCATAACTTTAATTTGCTATTGTTATAAACCGTAATGTAAATATCTGCTATGCAGAATGTCTGATATGTGACCCCTGTGTAAGGTTATTCAACCCAAAATGGGGTCATGACCCACAGGTTGAGAACCCCCATGCTAAGAAGTGGAAGCAAGGGAGAGCACAGAACAGAAGATACATTCTGTTATCGCAAGGGAGAACACAGACTAGGAGGTAGGTACTGTTATCCCAGAGGAGCCAGCAAAAGCTGTGATTGTGTTCCTCAATTAGCAAGTGGCAGAACTTGGATTTGAAACCAAGTGTAACCTCAAGGCATTTTTTTTTTTATTCACAGCCACACCAGCCAATGCTAGCCTTCCCAGAACCCAGCTTTTATTTCAGTACACAGACAGCAAAAATACAGTTTTGCTTAAGTTGTTTTCAGTTACTTCACAATTAGAAATCGATGAACATCCTCCTTTGCATGTGTCATTTTCTGGCTCTTTAGGCAGGACTTCAATGGACACACCAGACAGTTTTCTTTTAGAGGAGGAGTATGAGGAAGAAACCGCAAGCAAATGATGCTATATTCATAAGATCAATTGATGAACATCTGAGACTTAACTTTAATACTATGTACTGATACTTCTTAAAGTGACAACACAGTGAGTACAGAAAGCTATCCTCTCCTGAGCATTAGGAACTGTCAGTATCTCCACTTTCATCCTAATTATCTGTCTTTTCCTACTGGCTTCCATGAGTCAGGAAAGGGCACTGATTATAAAGGTTTGTAAAGACCCATAACGAGCAAAACACCAGTAGGAGTCTTAGTAGCCAAAGTAGACTAGGTGGACTTGAGTTGAGGTACTGACAGCTTAATAGCTGGACAATTACATGGAGAAAAACCTCATCCAGCCATAAGACTCTATACTACAGAGTCACTCATTCCAAACAGCAAGAACACTAGATGCTCTGCAAAGCTCAGACGGTTAGCTGTGCATTCATTTTGCTGAGTATGTATGAACACAAATGGCTTCCCCATTTTAGAACTCTTTCCATTGTATAAAACAAAATGTCAAAGAAAACTGATAAAAATAATCCACAAGTTGGGCAGAGCAGTGAGATGACTCAGCAGGTGAAGGCACTTGCCAGCAAGTCTGATGACCTGAGTTAAAGCTCAGGTTCCACATGGTAGAAGGATAGGGACTGATCCTCTAAATTGTCCTGTGACCTCCAGTCATGTACTAGGGTGTGTGCATTTCCCCAACACACACACACACACACGAGGAACACAATGAAGATGGATAGGGTGGGAGGGAGGAATGTAACAAAAATAATTTATCCTCCGAAGTAACACAAACAATCCTTCTTTAGGCGATTCCTACCATTCCATGGCACTTTGGGAAATAGGGTGCTTTGACTTTTCACTTTTTAGCACCTCTGAAAAGAGCACTATCTTTCCCCCTCTCTTCATTCAGTTTTTCACCACCTACAGAGATTAAACAGTTGTCCTGTACCTCATCACCAGTATCACCAGGAATCACAGGCCAAATTCAGAGCAGCGATATACAGTTTAAAACATAACCACCTTTGCCAGCCTCATGTTAACCAAATGAAATCTGTGAATTCAGTCCCTATACATTCAGCTGTCTCCTGGAAGTCAGATCAATTGCTTGTTCCCTCAAACCTTTTCGCCTAAAAGCTCCCTGCAGTAACCATCAGGACAGAAAGGTGGCAGAGGCCCTGTGAGGAGCACTGCTGTAGGGATTAGGGACGAGGGAGCACACTCCTTCAGTTTCACTCAAGTAGAGCTCTTACTCCTGACCTTATCCTAGCACTTGCCCACAGGAGTTCTCAGTAATTAAGAGAACTGTACACTTACAGGTAGTCTCTGGATTTCCTCTTGCCATTTGATTGAAGTAATAATTTTCTATAGGACTCTGGAGTGAATGGGTTGATATTGACCAGAGACAGAGAGGTCTTCTCATCCATGAGGGGAACAGGTGTGAGTCTCAAATGTTTATAGCTTCTGGCTGAGAGCTTCCCTATTGGAGAAATCTCTGGCTGATGCAGTGAATTCTACGTAAGGATGACAAAAGGTAAAATAGAATAGGGCTTTAACAAGTAAAAGAAAGTTTCACATCAACTAGCTAGTTGTTATTTAAACCAAAGGATGTTATTGCTAGAAGATTGTGTGGTTCAGTGAGAACTAGCTGCATTGTACTTGATGCTCTTATTTTAAACATACAAAATTCTAGCCTCATCTTGAGCCAGCACAGGAATCGGTGTTTTTATTAAGCTCCACCAGTTCTTCCAGGCAGTTCTCCTAGTTGTGAAACCAACTCTAAGTCCAATCTTCATTTTGAAAGATGAAGATTGTACTTAGGTAGACAAAAATGATTCTATCGATGCCACCTTTCTTCTGTTCTTATACTTTAACTCTCACATATTCATCCCAGTATTTGTTTGGTTCCTACTTATTGGCACATGCTGGATTAGATGCTGATGTGCTGATGGGCACAGAGATAAATTCTAGCTCTTAATGAACACACAGCTTATTAATCAGTCTATCAGTGGGTTTGAATTATTCTTTCTGAACATGAAAAAGGGAGTTCTCAAATTCACTTAATCACCACATAAAATGAGAAGAGCCCCCATGAAGCAAAATAAAGAGATTAAAAATAATAGTCTACATACATACATTCCTAAATACATAAATAAGCCTGCTCAGTACCATAATGTTACTAGTGTATGTGTGATTTCAGGATTGCCTACTTGATATTTCCTGAGGAACACCATTTCTTCTACTCTCAGCATCTTTCAATTGCCTGTAGTTCTTTGTCTTGGGTAAGAAAAAAGAGGCCAGAGGCCATGAATTTGAAAGAGCAAATTTGAGAGGCAGTGGAGAGTGGCATAAGGGTAGAGGCAGGGGAAAGGGGAAAAATGTAACTATGTTAATATTTTAATTAAAGAAAAATTATTATAAGGAATAGGTTTTATCTATTAAAAGAATAGCATCAGGAAGAATTTACACTGTATGTTGCCAGAGCTTAGATGTAGAAATGAAAGAGCATAAGAGTTATACAGATTCTTAGCTAAATGCATTCTAACCACCAGCATTTTAAAGAGGTATGACAATATAAATGACCCTGCATATGTATATACAGTCATGAATGGCAGACACTCTTGTAGATGTTTACAGGCACAGGTCTCTTTTCTGTTAGAGTATGTGTTCTAGAGAATTTCCTTGCTTATAGTTCAAGTGAATTAAAGTAAATACAGCAGAACCTAGAAGATAACCAACTGCTTGTAGTCAAGCAGATGAAAAAGCTCTTCAGACAGTATTTATACATTGTGCTGAGTGGATTATATTAAATAATCTAAAAATTATATAGTCTAAAATGATCAAGATTTCAGGGCTTTGACGTGGCTATACCCAGCTACCAATATATAGGAAAATGAAGAAGACTTGCTAATCTAACCGAACCTAGACTTAACCAGAGTTTAACCAACTGCCAAGTTCAAGCAAAAAAGATACTGAAAGAGCAGAATGTCATTATATTTGAGTGTCAGGATCTGGAGAAGCATGCATGCTGTAGTTCTGCAAGCACACAATAGCATACACATGGCCAAGATGCAACTCTAAAGTATGTTCTTTGTACTTGGGGGCTGCTATCAAAGAATTCTACCATTTTGATGGTCTCTTCCTATGACTTTTCAGTGTAAAATCAGAAGCCAAACTATCCTCTGACTCATTAAGTAACGTGAGTCTTCAAGACTTAATAAACAATCAATAAATGATTGACACAAGCAGAAATGAAAAATGCTATGGACCATACAAATTAGCATAACTTTTTTAGGTGAAGAACTTATGCCATTGGCATGATCAAAGATTTTTTTTTAATAAGGGTCTTGCATGGATCAGAGTTCACAGAGTGAATGATCCTAGGGCTGTGTTCAAAACCATATTGATGATATTATTGCTTCTGGTGAGTTTATCATGAAAAGGGACTGTTTTCAAAATAAAACTATACTGGGCATAATGTTATATCTCCATTATCAGGATGATCTCAGAAATAACAGTTATATAGAGCATTCCCCCCCAAGGAATGTTTATTTTATAATGCCCAGTAAAATGTGTCTTTCACATACTAAATGGAGGGTATTCATATCTGCAATGCCCACCCTCTTTTCCTGTGCCTCAGTAGAGGTGTCTTCAGCAAAGCTCCACTAGTTGCCATCCTGATCTGTCACATTGATCTGTCCTCATCCTGGTATAAATGTACCATTGTGGAGTAAGTATTTTCCCTGTTTTATTTTCACCTACCTTTTCATGCTCTATATTATATCTATTCCTCATCTCAGCATGACTGAAGATCTCTAACTGTAGCACTTCTCATACTAGCACTCAAACCATGTGACCATATCCTCACCTGTGACTTCACTAGCTTCCTAAATGCCACAGATAGCAAAATGGATCCCTGGCTTCAGTGGTTTTCCCATGTCCCACTTAGCCAATTATTTATTCCATGTTTCCATTTATTCCCCCAAACTTGTAAACCCTTAATCTTAACTCAAGATTCTACCTATTCAATCAAGCAAGAAGCCTCCCCATCATCTTAGATTCCTCTTTTCCCTGTAACGCCTCCATCAAGTTATTGCTAGTTACCAAATAGCTCTCAACTTAAGGCTCCGGTCCTAATTCAGACCTTTTTCTGCTCTCAAAAGAACCCTTGTGAATATACCTCTATGTCAAGGCTTTTCTCTTGTCTAGTCCACCTTGTGCATGAAAGCATGACTTTTAAAACATATCCCTACTCAAAGCTACTGAGTTGCTAATTCAACATTTTCAGGATAGAATGTTCTCTTCTTCTGCCTACCCTTCTTGTCTCATTCCCTGCCTCTCTTTTACAGAGACTCCTGTCTCACTTGGCTAACCCCAGTTCATTATTTAAGTATTTCCTCAGACAGTACTTCCTTTAAAAACCAATAAACAAAACAGGACAAAACCTTCCCCACTGCTATGAAATTTAACTCCCAATTTCTGCTCCTCATAGTCTGCCATTCCTCCACAACACATTATCTGACACATTAAATTGATGGGGAGACGTACTTGCTGAAGAAGTAAATGGTGTTGACAGAGGATCTGCTAACACAGAGAACGTTGTAGATGAGGTAAGGAATGAAATACACACACATGCGTATCACCCCTTGCCTGCATACTTCTACTAAAACTATACCAACTACTATTGCTGTTCACTCGCTCCCTTCACTTTTCTTTCTTTCCTAATCATCCCACTGAGAGTCAGTCTTCACAAAGTACTCTCAAAAAATCACTCTCTCCCCATCTCCTGATATAATATCAACTGGCTGAGAGCAGAGGTTTTGTCCTGTGTTAATTACCCACAGTGGCTTCTCAAGAATAATAATAATAATTAAAAAAAAACATAATCAGTTGGTATTGAACATCGAAACATCTTCTGATGAGCACCAGGACTTGTTTGTCTGCAGTTCAGCCAGGAAGCCTAATATTCCTTGTCAGACATACCATGGCACTCAGCAGGCACCACAGAGCCCCACTGACAGTGACTGTGTTGCAAGCAGGATCATACCTGTTATAATGACCTTAAGGACCTCGAGCTGAGCTGGCAGGGAGCAGAGCTAATGTTCATCCTAGGGAATCCTAATCAGGCACCATGGCATCAGAATCTACTACAAGTAACCATCCATCCCCCATGCCCTGACTTTGATAAAGGACAATGTAATGCAGCATAAATAAAGGAATATGTGAACGATAAGCAACCATTGCTTAATTGCTACCACTTTCAATTCTTAAAGAAGTTCTGCTTTGCTCGAGTATAATAGAGGTGCCAATACTGCACTAGGCCAAAAGCAGAGGGGACTCTGTGCTGGGGAACACAGCAGCCACAGACAAGAGTGCGTGCAGATAGTGAACATGAACATTCCTGTATCAGGAAATACTGGTAATCATTACCTAGAAGTACAGCTAACTGGAATAATGGGAAGGAAAACAGACTAAGCCAAAAAGATGAGGAATCCAGTCTTGTCTCTAAGAGTGGCTGAGGTAAGACAGCTCATCTCTTGGAAATTGATTTTTCTTATGTGCAAGGTACACAGGATGCCTGTGGATCTCTGCATCTCTTCCAGTTCCAATATTCTTTAACTATGATCTTTTCAACTAAGATGAATGTGCACCCAATATCAAATAGTTACTGGTTGAAGGAAACAAGCAAGCTGCTTCCTGGTAACTTTAAACTTGCCTCCATTTTCACTAAGAAACAGGTACCTGAAGATATATCTAGCCTGTAAGGCAAGTTCATTGCAGATATGTAAACAATCAAGATCTCATCTCCCATCAGCTGACCCATAGAAGAACAGATCTCAGAGACCTGGTCCTTCTTCTCCATGGTTTTACTCACTTTGGGAGTGGAGAGGTTGTAAGCAAGAGGCGGCTTGCTCTTTCTGTATGGTATTGGTGTCTCTGGACATTTGGGTAGGTCTGAAACTGAAATCCAAAAACCAGGACCTGGACTGGCCACGTCTCTGTTCTGAGAAGTATAAAGTTCATCTCTGGGGGGAGACTTGGGACCCTCCAACTCCTCATCCTCATCCGCCTTAGGCTTTTGGTTCTGCGTCTCTCCAATGTCGTGTGCTGTCATCTGCCCTTCGTTCTCAGCATCTTCGTCACAAAAGGAAAAGTTGAATTTCTTATTCAGTCCATAGTGAAGTACTCTGTCAGCCATCTCAATGAAGGGCCTTACAGTGCAGGCAAGGAGGCATCTGAGAAGGGACCACTGTAAATCTACAGAGGCAAGGAGGGGAAAAGCCAACAAGTTCCACAGCTTTAGCTTGCCCTTCCCTCTATGCACCAACAGCTGAGAGACACGCTGGGAATGCTCTCCCTTAAGTACCACACTTTAAGGCCTCAGCATATCCCTATTTCCCTTCTGATTAGAGAAATCTCCAGCAACTCTCCAAGCAACTACATCCAGTCCCTGTGAGAACCCCCTGCTAGCCTACAGAGTCTCCCAGTGGCCAATCGCTGTGAAGTACTAACAAGAGGGTTGGTTGGCTCCCTTTAATTTAACAAAAGTGTCCGTTAACCAATTGGGGAGCAAGTTCATTGTGAGAAGAAAGTTATTTTCCACCCTTTCATATCTGCCATGCATATGCACCAATCTCTACTCCCTTCATGCCACACCCATCTCATGGCTAACAGCAGCAGGCCATTAGTATTTGGCATCGCTTACATATCCTGATGATCCTTACACAACCTTCAGCATGGCTTGCCTGACATTCACACCCTCAGTGGGATCATTCCCATGCCTTTGCCAAACACGCCTTTCCCAACTCAAGTACCATCCCTCCCCACCAACTATGAGTAATTAAAGTTATGAGGAAATTGAATAAATTTTTCAACTGACAAGATTTAGAAAAAAATAGCAATGCCTGGAAGTGGGTGGTATCATTTTAAAATACAATTACTTTGTGCCAAAATTTACCATATTTTATAAAATGCTTTTTTTAGAGTTTAGATATTTTTCAATTATTTCATTTCTTTCTCAGAAGCCTCTTCTTTGGGGGAAAAAAATAACCACATGATCACTTACAATCTCTTTTCAGGGTAATTGCCCCCTCCCCCCCCCCATGAGAACAATAGCTCGATGAGATTCCCACACCCCTCAGTTCACTGAAGCACTAGTCACAACTTGGCATGGAAACAGCTCATGCCACCAGCAAATAGATGGATTTTCTAAACCATGGCACACATATCTAATGGAATACTACTTGGCTACAGGTGAAGGCAATCATGCCATTCTAACAATATGATGAATCTGGAAGGCATTATGCTATAAAATATAAAATTAGTATAACACAAGTGCTCCATGATCTCACTGGTAGGAGGAGTCTAGGAAAAGTAAACTCTCAGAAGCAGAGAGTAGAACAATGGTTTCCAGGATTTGGGGGCAAGCCGGTCAAAGAAAGCCAGCTTAGTTACAAGGTAACTAAGTTCTAGGGATCTAATTCCAGGTAGAGTGGCGAGGGACATGTTAATCTGATCATGCCATTCATTAAAGTGTGTACGTACATATTGTCAATTAGATTAAAAAGGGAAGCCTAGACAGGCGTGGTGGCACACACCTGCAATCCCAGCACTCAGAGAGGCAGAGGCAGGTGGATCTCTGTAAATGCAAGGCCAGCCTGGTCTACAAATTGAGCCCAGAACAGCAAAGGCTACACAGAGAAACCCTGTCTCAAAGAAACCAAAAAACCCAAAACAACAAACAAACAAAAGAGAAGGGGGCTCATTGACACCAAGGTGAAATCTGTGTGAAAGGCAGTAAGTGAAAAAGGAAAAAAGGTTAAAGTGGCTCTGGACGGGCCTGGCATGAAGAGAACAAGACAGGGGATAAAGAGACTGAGGAACCAAAGCAGCTTAAAGAGTTTGAAACAATTGTACTTCCCCTTCTCATGAGTCTTGGATGCACAATTGCTTTTCATTCAGCTTCCGTTTTCTTTCTCTCCACTGATCCTTTTACTACTTGGTCTTTTCCTAGTTCCTCTCCATCTCTAACAAGAACTCAAGGAGATGGCACCCTGAATGAAACTGGAGAGTGAGAAAGCATACCTCAGCTAAAGGCTTCCTCATGAGCCAGTGCCTCGCAGGTGACCCACTAACGATCTTTCCTTGGTCTTCCCACCCTCCCTTCACCCCCACACACTGTTCCGGGTACTTGAACAGACAGTGAAATAGTCCTCTCAGCATGTGGGAACTCAGTGCCCACCTTTGTCAGAGATTCAGCATTCCATTGGTGGCAATAAAGAGCCATTCAACGGAAAGGAAGGCTCAGAATACCAGCAAAGAATTTCCATCAACTGAAATTCTGAACTCAGGGCCAAGGTTCTTGGTTACAAGCCAGGGAGTCAGGTGACATGATTCTTTTCCCACAGCCTCCGTGTAGATCAGTTCTCCTTTCCTCACATCACATAACTTGCCACTTCTCCAGGCCAGCTGATTGTTGGTTTGGCTCCCAACTGAACAGAGCCTGACATAAGAGGCTGAGTGTATCTTGGACCTAGCTGGGTGGACATTTCCCAAGGAGATCAGAAGATCACTGTTTCTCACTATGCCCTGCCTTTCCTCTCTCCCTGTTAGACTTCTCAATTGCAAATATAATAAATCATTTATGACTGTACTCTTTGCCTGGGGAGGAACGGTGCTTAGATCTCATGGTGCCGATGGCAATTTTAGTAGAAACCTAGCACAAATCTCTTTTTCTACCACCTGTCACTTTCATTATATTCTGGGGTGGAAAATATGATGAAAACCAAGCAGCTGCTGATTGTGATGACCCAAGCAGACTTCTCTGGAGTTTTGACTCTTGACTCTGGCCTGGGGCCTCACCACTTCTGGTGTCATGTTATACTCTCTTCTCCATTCTTAGCCACTTCACACTAAGGAAAATTCCGGGTGTGCTTCAGTGCATCCATCAGACATTCTTTAATTACTGGGATAGTTTGTTAACAGGGACCCACATTACCTGTCAGTAGGAACAAAAGGGGGTCTTTCCTTTAATGCCTGACACATACTAAATGTCCCATCAATTGTTTTTGGGTGGATTTGGGGAAATAGTATATCTCAGTTTTTTTTTTTAAATAGTCAAATACTTCATTAAAAAAAAAATAACAGGAATTGCTGCCCAGAGAAAAATCAAAGATCACAAAAGTGAGGTGTTGCATGCCAGGTTGCATGCCCGAAAGCCTCTTCCTGAAGGGGTGGGGTGGTTGTCTCTTGTAAACATCCTACCAAGTGGTAAGGAGAATCTACCCTGGTTCCAGGGCCTCAGGAACACTGATGGGAGAAGCAGAAGCAGGAAGATCTATCTGTTGGAACTGATTTTGCAAGGCATGAAACCTGTATTCACCTTTAGGGCAAAGTCTTTGTTTGTAAAGGTGTAAAATTAGAGACTGGGAGATGAGAGAAGAGACTCTGTCACTCCAAGGAAGGTCATATAGGCTAATGGTCCCTCAGTTGACAGAGAATTGTAAAAACATACCTCAACAGGCTAAAGTGAAATTCTGCCCCATTATTGGAAACTGAATTAAGCTTGTCACTAAAATAAGCCAACATGTGATGTTAGATTATCCTATCTTTAACAGGACTGCTCCACTGGAAGGCACTGAAAAGTCTGATTTCCCAATAATACTTTGGTTTAAATTTTTCTTTGTTTAGATTTATTTTGTATGTATGATTGTTTTGCCTGCATGTATGTATATGTACCATGTTCAAATGTGTGATGCCCATGGAGGCCAAAAGACAGTGTCAGATCTCATGGAACCAGAGTTACAGATACTTGTAAGCCATCATGTGGGAGATGGGAAATAAACCTGGGTCCTCTGAAAGAGCAACGAAGTACTCATCACTGAAACATCTCTCTACCCCACTTAAGCTTTTCTTCTGAAAATGATCAAACATGCCATATTAGAGAAGACAGGATAGTGTGACTGTATTATGAGCTAGATCCAAACATTATAGCAGCTTTATAATCTAGTTACCTTTGTATCTTCAATTTTTTTTGGAGGGGGAGGGGGAAATGGTGCTAGGGTATTTAAAAGCAAATCAGTGATTTCATGTCATTCCACCCATGGATACTTTGGCAACAATAATAAAAATCTCTAGGTTAGTCTATCGTTTTGGAATCTTCTCAAATTTAGCTAGTGTTGAGCAGCCACTAATACACTGCTTCTCTTGCCGAACTTTCCCCTTGGATAGAATGAGAAGCTGTTCATTAAAATAACTGTTGAGGTGGAGACACGGTACTTTTCACAGACTCTGACTCATTCCTAGAACAGGAACAGATTTCCAGACTGGTACACAATAACTCAGAAGTCCGCGATGTGCTGTCCATACTTTAAAGAGCAGATATTTAGAAAGTATTCCTTGGAGTCACTCATCGGGTCATTTCTGTGAGCATTTTCAATTTCTCTAGACTTACAGTAGGTAATAGCTTGCCCAAGTTTCTACACCCCAGCTAGCGCTGCAGCCAGAGTGTTCTACATCTCCTGGCTTACTTTATCTGCGGGTGTATACATCCTTGTATACCCATACACACAAACACGCAGGCATACGGATATACTTTTTTCCCTTCCAAAAACTCAGTAAGTATGGGAAAAGTTTGTGGTTGTTTGGTGTATATCTCGTTCCTGATCCAAAAGACAGGCTGTAGAAGTCTTGACCAAGTACTGGAGGCCACATCCTGGTGCATCTCAGTTCTATTGCAGCCACTATATTGATGGTTTACCCTTCTAGCCCCCCAACCCCTACTCCGTCTTTGGTTTGGATTGGTTTGTTTCTGTTTTTCAAGAAGTTATCTTATATAAACCAGCGTGGCCTTCAAACTCTAAGCAGCTGAGGCTGGCCTTGAGCTCCTGATCCTCCTGCCCCCATTTCCTGAGTGCTGGGGTCACAGTCATGCACCACCACACCTGGATTAGAAAGAATTTTAGCAGTTTTTAAAGATGCTGACAAAGAAGAAGTAACACCTCTCCACTGGGGAGCCACCGGAAACTGAAAACTCAGAAAATTTCGAAAGTGCTTTTCTTAAGGAGAAAGTGCGAGTGGGGAGCTAGATATGGCATTTGCTCCTTGCTACTTTCCGCTTGTGTGGTTTCATTGTTTTGCTCGTGTACGTGTACATGTGTATTCTTGGGTGTGCAGCTCCGTGTGCTTGTGTGGGTGCCG